GGATGGATTGATCCTTCGCGTGAAGCTCCCATTGATGCAGTTGGCTTGCTCAGGCTCGGACGATCCGCCCGAGAATCGCGGACTTCTTCCGTCACCTGGCATAGACAGAAGACTCCTGCGCATGCTCCCTGCACGTAAGCGCGTTAGGAAGTTCAGATCGTGGCCGTTGATGTGCGAGATGACCACCGAGAAACAAAACACTTCTACATAATCACTAGTCAGCATATGTTTAAAATCCACGGATTGCAGAGGCGCATCCTTTTGGAGCTTTTCAAGCGCATCGATACCACGCGCAGCGCAAAGGTGGAGTTTCAGTGCCAGGCGGGGTCTCCCTCGACCAGTAGCTGACGAGTGCTTCCTTGAAGCCAGCGCTGCCAACCTCCACGGTCACCGGCCAAGCGAATGTATGTCCGGACTGCCAGGTGTCTTACCTGGAGATCTACAACGCGGCCTGGCAGTAGTTTTCAGGGATAAAGGTCTCATTCCGGTCTGGGAAGGTCCCGATATAGGAATCCGGCTCGGAGCTCGTCTGCCCTGGTTTTCCTGTGGCCCCATGTCAGCGCCAGTGTTCTTAGGAGCAGATCCGCGATTTGCTTGTGCCCTTGACGGACAAGCCTGCGAAGCTCACAGCCTCGTGGCTATGACCATGAGTTGCACTCGAGGGTGGAGATTGGCATAGCTATCGTTGCGAGAGCCGTCAAGTGCAGCAAAGTGCAACACGGTCTTATATATCTACAATACAAGAAGGTGGCCTTGAGATTTGCAGGCATTTTTGACGGTTACGTGGCTGTTGGCGTGCCTAATGTGATATTGCATTGCTTTGGTTTGCTGCCAGTAGGGGTGAAAGGGCGTAGACTTCCTGACTCAAATCTCTAAGCAGAAAGGGATGCTCCAGCCGTAGCCGCTGCTTAAAAAAGTACGTGATTGCGAACCATGCACTCGCAGACTTCGTAGACGTTGTGTGGCCGAGCGACGCCGAGAGCTGTTATCCGATGCCCTGGAGGTTGCGCAGAGTTTTTTTGGGGATGGGCTGTTGCTTTTGTTTTTTTGCGGGTGAGAGGTGAGCTGGATGGCGGATGCGCTGGCCATGGCACGACTTGTAGGAAGTGGACATAAGTGGACAACTCCTAGAAAGCCTATTCAAGGAGGCATTTCAAGGCAACGTAAGGAAACAAGCTCAGCCTCCGCAGCCCCAGTCGATTTTGTGACATGTCCAGTGCAGGGTAGGTAGAGTGGCAAGATTCAACTCGGTGAAGATCGCCGTGGTAAGTTCATGCCAAGTGATGACATTGATGCGTTCTCGGTTGGTGTCTTGTTCGATGCTGTCTACAGGATGCTGCAGGATAGTGAGGCCTGTACAGAGCCACACTCAGGTTCGTCATCATCCAAAGCTGGGAACTTATGTTGGCGGATTGACGACAAATGCGGCCCCTTGACTGAATTGGACGACTTCCTGGTGTCAGTTGCATGTGCAAAGTCTCGCAGAGGCTGCTCTCTTGCTTTGGTATCTGTGGAGGCCTTCCCTGACAAAGATAGATGCGAAAGTATGTAACATGTATACATACTCAAAAGAAAGAATCTCGACTAGACTTCAAGTAGCCACCTCAGAAGACTCAAAAGAGGAAGGCCCATTTTGAGACCGGGGCCTGGGGCCTGACGGAACCTTTTGAGGAACACCCTGACTGTGATTCGCGAAAGACCTTGGAACGGCCCAGGATTTATAGGACACCTGATTCAGCACCCCAGGCCAGGTCGACGGGTGCCATTGTCAGTAGAGAATTCAGAGACAACCCACGTGACCTAAGTGCTATAACTTGGCTAGAACTGCTCTCCAAACCAGGGTTCTGTTGCTAGACGGTGCAATCTACGCGCTATTCTGCGCTGGATGAGATCACGTGATACACGTGCACGGCCTGTTCCTCTGTGTCAAATGCAAGGGCCCAGAATGGCCCTGTGCCTGGACAAAGGCTGAACATACACGGAGTGAGGGAGCGAGTATCGCCCAGCATGCGCTTTGCTTTGTAGCCTTGGACACGCAGCCGGAGGCAGTAGAATCAGTAGAAGGCGCAGCGGATTGCAAAGAACCCTTCAACGACTGAGCTGCCCTCAAAACTTATGATTTTTGATTATTGCTGCCTGGGTTGGTGCGGTCGCCCATTGCTACAGTTGTCGCATCTGGACATGTTTAAGCTTCTCTCTCTCTCTCCCTTTGTATATATATATATATACATGTATTTTCTTTTTTGTTTAAGGGTGTAGGGTTTTAGGGTTTAGGGTTTACGGTTTAGAGTTTATGGTTAGGGTTTAGGGTTTAGGGTCCCCCCCCCCCCCCTGCTGTGGTGTGGTTGTGGGTTGGCTTTAAGGTTTAGGGTTTTAGGGTTTAGGGCTTAGGGTTTAGAGTTTAGGGTTCAGGGTGTAGGGTGTAGGGTGTAGGGTTTGGGGTTTACGGGCCTTGGGGGGGGGGGGGGGGGGGGGGGAGAGGGGGTGGGGGATACAATGGGGGGGGGGGGGGGGGGGGGTGGTGCCGGCGAACCGAGAACGGGGATCATATGTATTGATCGCAGCTTGCCCAGGTCACAACGTACGGCGAGGTGCAGAGCATCCTGGACTTCGGCGCCAAGTCACGTAGCGTCGCTCGAAAAACACTCGGTGGGGCATCTGGGGCCATATGCACACACTCATAGGAGGCCCATCCGCTGCACGGCGGGCATTTACAGCATTAGAAGAAGGTAGAATGAAGGAGAAAGAGAGAGAAATAGAGAGAGCGAGAGGAGTACCCTCAAGCCCTATGAAAGAAAGAAAAAAGGAAAGGAAGGAAGCAAGGAAAAAAGGAAGGAAGAAAGGAAGAGAGGAAGAGAAAAAGTGAAGGGCAAGAAAGAGATAAAGAAATACAGAGAGAGAGAGAGAGAGAAAGAAAGAGAAATACAGAGAGAGAAAGAAAGAAGGAAAAAACAAAAGAAACAAAACGATACCAAGTGCCTCCATCCGCTCTAATCTGCCACTTAAGATGGGCCGGGGGGGGGGGGGGGGGGACCTCAGGCTATATGAGATGTTTCGTGGTTGCGTTGTTCTGGTTTTTTAGTGTTCTCGTTTTTGTCTTTATGCTCTTCTTTCGCAGTGTTGACGCTTTCCGATCACGTAAAGCCCTACACCGTAAGCACCGCAACAACAACAACAACAACAACAACAACAACAACAACAACAACAACAACAACAACAACAACAACAACAACAACAGCAACAACAACAACAACAACAACAACAACAACAACAACAACAACAACAACAACAACAACAACAACAACAACAACAGACCCTGAAATAACAGGGCCTTGGGTTTCAAGTATATAGGATGTGGAGTTCACCTAAGCCCAAAGCCCGGAACCCTGAGCCGAAAAGCCCACAGCTTGTCAGATGCTTTCCAGATAGAGCATCAGCTTGCCTTTCATCAGGGAGGTGAGGTCGATGTGGTTGTGACTCCATGCCTCGATGTGGCAGAGGTTGCTAGCTGACCCCGAATCCATGTGCAACTTGCGTGGGGTAGGGGGGCCTGTCCCCGTTCTCTGGCAAGAAAGAGCACGGCAGGACTCAGATCTTTCTTCAAATCATCAGGCACTATAATTAATAATGTATTTGCAAATTTCTCGTTGCAGGTCTGTGTGCATTGTGCAATGACAGAGGCATTTGAGTCTTGACTTTGCCATGCATTGCCATGGCCACTTACTTGCAGTGACATGTCAACGTGATGGTTTCAGGTTGCAGCAACCCAAATGACTCTTGGCAGCAGATGTGAGGTCAGCGCGGACATGTGCAGTCAGAAAGACTAGGCGGTACGTCAAGGAGGTGGCCTTGTTTGGCAATGAGTGTAGCTCAAATGTTGTTTGACTCCTTTCAAGACCTCCACTACACTACTCTGAACATCTCCGAACACCCCAACTTTGAACTGCAGCACGCGAGGAACTCTGCCTCCTCGCGCTCGCACTGTATCTTCAACTTTGTGCTGCTGAAGCGTGAGACTGCAGACGGCGTTGAAAGGTACGGCGTTGAGTCTGAGCAGAGAGCCAGTGCCTTGACTCCAGCTCACTGAGCTCATCGGACGATTTCGAGGTGTCAGTTCACTCCAATAAGTGCCGGAAATGTCGCAAGGCTTGGGAACTTGAGCAAAGCCCAAAGCGCTGGAAGCAACGAACGACGCGTGGAAAATCATGTCCAAGGTTCGAGAAATGGCTGACGGAAGAAGAGTCATCCCAAGTCCGATTTACATCCATCTGAAAAGATAAACAATTTGCCGCAAAACCAGCAAACGGCAGGTAACAGGTCAAAACAGAAAGCCAAAAAGCCCTTGGTTGGAGCTTGTCGGACTTCCGGAGCTCCCCTAAAGGGCCCTCCACAGACGCCAAGGAGTTCGAGCTTACTAGGGTGACTAGGGGCCGGGGTTGCAGTGCTCGGATTAGGTGGGCTTGGGGTTAAGTGGCTTTAGGGGTTCGGGCTGACTTTTCGGATGCCAGTTGGGTTCGGGACCTCGGGAGACTGCTGTACCCAACCGAAGCCGTTCTTGACAAAAAATGACGCCTCCCGAAAGCTCGAGGCACAAAGTGACGAAGTCTTAAACACACGGCCCCTAAGGTGTCAACCTGGTAGATCTTGCAGGCTGGGATTCTGATGATCTTCGATGGTTGACTGGGGACCGTTTCGAGACTGTTCCATCCAATAAGGAGAATTCCAGCATCTCCCCTGTAATCTCGTTCTTTCTGCTGATTCCTCATGTTGTTTGGCTGCAGGGACAGGTCACGTGGAGAGTACCCAGGTGCTTCAGTGCGTGTCGCTTTTCATGTCGTTTTCATGGATTGAATGCTTGCGTTGGATTGCATCTTTTGCATGGCCAGCAGTTCGACACGCCATTGAGCTGCAAAGGGCATGGCACCATGCACTCGGCCCGAACAGGCTCTGAGCGACAGAAGAAAACTGGAGCGAGCGGCAGCCTCCTGAAGGAAGGGGCAATGATCAACCAGATTCTTGGCAACACAAAAACTCTTAACATATCGTACAGTATCTATGCTCTGAGCACTCTGCATGGTCTGACGGATGGTGTGGGCAATTTTGGGAATGGTAGGTGAACCTTCGCTCCAGCTGGGCTTAGTTCTGCTGAGGTCTCTTTCAAACCTTGCCTTGGTCATCAACAAGCTCGCTGCCTCTGCGAGAGACGATGGCAAAACTGACTTCGTCCCGTTCCGCAACTCCAAGCTCACGCACATTCTGAATCTCGATTCAATATGGCTCAATCATGTTCAATCTCTTCTGCTCTGCAAGCTGCGGAATCACTATAGAATCCTTGGTGCTTCCTAAATGCCTTCCAAGTTTAAGCCTTGAAGCTCTTCGTGAGACTCGATTGCCGAACGCCCAACCTTTCCCACGTCTCCACTTCGAATATTTCAAGATGCACCCCCCCGCCCCCCCGCCGCAGGCAAGTTTCCACTCATTCCATGTTTGGGCGCCAGGCAGGAGTCGCTGAGTGGTAACTCCAAGACGGTGATGATTGCTGCGCTGTCGCCAGCATTGTCCAACCTGGATGAAACACTTAGCACGCTGAAATTTGCAGGGTCCTCAGGAATCGGCGGACAAGCTCATGCAAGCAGCACTAGCTGTTTTCAATTCTTCCTCGCTTCCTACCGACGGCTTTTGAGTTTGGCAGTGCAAAGGCCCAGACCTGCAAGAACGTGGCAACCAAGGCTGTCAGGAATCAGGCTCGCTTGGCAGCTTCAATTTGTAATGTTTCATCGAGTACTGGCTAGTTTTTTCTTCGTCTTTTGATGTCTTCTGATCTTGACAGACGGATCCAAGTGGTTGCGGCGCTTCTAGATTATTTGAACGAGATGCGTTTCATAATGGGTTTCCTTGTACCAGAGGTGAGGTGACAAAAAACGGAAGCGCCGTCGCCCCCGGCCGGGCACGCCCTGAACAGACAAGAAACGAAACAGGGTTTGGGTGCAAAGCCGACTGTTTTTTCCCGGGGGGGAGAAGGGGGGGGGGGGTGGTCATGAAACAAGAAGACGAAGGAAGAAGAAGAAGAAGAAGCAGAAGAAGAAAAAGAAGACGAAGAAGAAGAAGAAGAGCAACATTAATGTCCCTTTGCACGCGCACGCGCCACGTGCACCACTGGTGCCTGACCTGGTTTCGGGGCTTACTTACAAGATTGTGAAGCTGCCCGAGCCCACCAGCAGCGTCCCACTGATGCTGCTGATTCTATTGCCAGGGGAGAAGTCTCGATGATGTGCGCGCCCCCCCGTGAATCATGAGCATCAGCGGCCCGGCCCCAAGTAGGGCTCGTAGCGGCTTCAACATGGCAGTGTCCACAAGCACGCGAAACCCAAGGTATTTCGGGCGTTGTGATGGCCCCTGATGCTCATGATGCGCGCTCTTGATCGATACCCCCAACAAACATCGGCGTCTCGCTTCAAGCCTAAGCTTAAAACCAGGGACAATGATGCGCATAGGGGTCGTGCCTAGCAGCCACGAGCGCGCCCGATTTTCAGCGCCCCCAGAGGCTCTAGAGCCCACGAGTGCTCATGTGGTTCTGAGGGTCAGTCGTCCAGTCGTCGAGGGTGAAGGGTTTCGACGGGGTTGCTTGGGTTGAGGGGTGATGATAATCCTTGAGAACTGCTGGGGTTCCACAGGGACATGTCGATTTGGACCTCCCTTCACTTTTTGCACTATGTATTTTTGACGTACCACATTGTTAAATGAAGGGTTTTGTTTCGAGTCGTTCATGAGCGCGCTCAATCCACAGCGTACGAAAATCGGATCATACAGATTTCTGCGCATCGCTGTAGCCGAGCCGTGGACATGACACCTCAGTTTAGAAGGCGTTCATGATAATGGAAATTTAGCAGCTCATGGAGATGATGAGGAAAAGCTTACGTGACCATCAATTAGTTCTTGCAGAGACAAAGATGACACTGTGAAACAACTTGGCAGCAGAAGCCAATCCCAGTAGCCTTCTCAGGAGACGTCGGCCAGTATAGCCGAGGAGCTGACTGCAGAGATCGCGAGGCCCCGGAACAACGGGGGGAGCGAGAGTGGAGAGTGGCGCCGCGCGTTAAGCTCGCAAGCGATATGGTTGGAATACGGCAGATGCAAGTCATAAAGCCAGGCATGCCCGTCATTAGATTGTGCTGGCTTTCTCATACGGGCCTCTGCACGAATCGCGAATCGATCGCGGCTGTCGCTTTGTGGGGCGCACGAGGTTCTAATCGGATCGGGATCGGGGGGTACCATGGCTGCTATGTCTGGCCGCCCCAGGTATACGTATAACTTGGATTCCAGCCGTTGTTTCGAGCGACGTAGACATTGACATGCCGAGATGGCCAAAACGCCATGAATCCCAGGTTGCACTGTGAGTTACTGTGATGTACTGTGCCTATCACAGCCATTGAACCAAGCCATACCAAGCCTTTCCCTGCAGTGCAAGGCTGAAAGAGCAGCTTGCGGCTCAAAATGACAGCCTTGGTCTCAGCATATCTTAGCCACCTTCGGGGCAAGTGCGAATTAAGTGCATCCTGAAATGTTGAAGGCCATCTGGCGTTGTGTTGTATTGATGACATTGCCACGGTTCCCTCACTCCTCAAGCCTAAACTGTATAGCCTGCGCCTAGGCCTAGTCACGAACCCTGAAATCATCAACCAATCCCTCAACCCAAGAACCTAACCTCTGAAGTCTTAACAGAGTTGGTCCAACATGCTCTTTCAGAGGCAAAATGGTACTGAAGCTCGCAAAGCGCAGAATCGGAGCCACTGAGGCCGTCTCCAGCAACAGCTCTTCGACACGGAGCAACTGCTCGCCAAGATGGAGAAGGCTTAAACGGGCTTGGAGTGCCTTTTTTTGATCAGCAGAGTCCCCCGGCAGTTGAAGCATGGATGATAAGCCTGACTTCGTATTACTTCTGAGACCTGCAGACAACTTTCTGGGGGAAGTTCAAAGTACAGAAGCCGGGGAGCTCCATGCACTTGAAGCATTCTAAAACACTCGCCCCTCAGAAATCTGCAGGATTACCAGGCGCAGATTGCCGAAGCCAAGGAGATGGAAGCCTTGCGCAAACAGGCCCCGTGTGAATTTCGGGGTGCGACATCATGTTGGCATTGAGGGTTGAGAGCTTGAGAGTGGGAGTTTAGATCAGTGGCTGCTCCTCCACTCCTCCCCTCCCCCACATGTGTGTTGAGAGATTCTGTCCTTAGAGCAATCTGAGAGAAAGACTTCTTGATTGAGTGGGGTTCCCAGGGTCCCTTAATTTGAGGGCCCCCTGCGACCAGGGCGCCTTGCAGCCGGCCCTGGGCCTTTGAAAAACACGCTGAGGGGATTTTGGGGGTTCGAAGGGGGGCTCAAAGGGGTTTAGGGGGGTACTTCGGGTGATTTTTGTTGAAGCAGGGGGAAAAGCAGAGGATCATCATTATGCAAGGAGAGGCGCGTTTTGCCAAGAAAGCAAACATCGGCACGACTTCGACTGCGTCTGTGCACACCCGAATGCAATGCGACGGAGCACTGGAAGGTATACTTGTAGCGAAAGAGTTCGGGCATGCTGTGCCTTGTCACATTTTTTGTCATGGGCTTCCGAGCATTTGCAGCATGCGCTTCGGAGTGCTCTTGGATGAAAACACGCACGTCAAGGTTTGCGTTCGTCAGCGATGCGAGGTCCAGAGTCGAATGTCGTGAGCTTCAAGGGGCCTTGTGGTTAGCCGTGTGCGCTTGAAGGCGCTGTGCGATATGGGCCTTAGCTTGGCAGAGATCTCGGGGGCCTTGGGAATGGAGACTTGGCTCTGCATTGAAAGGCCATGAATGGCTTACAGTCTTAAACTGCTCTTAAAGCAGCGCCCACTCAAGGCTGCACAAGGTTCAGAAAGTCTGATCAAGTTTGCGCAGGGGATTGGGGGATTGAAAAACTCTATACAGAGAAGAAACAACATGCTTGTTGCTGTCTTTGTCCAAGAATCACTGAGCGGCCGAGGATCGCAATGTACCCCAGCTGGTGAATCTGTCTGATGATGCCTCATTGACTGGCCGCTGAGCCCCAATCCAGGTGCAATGAACTTGTTCATTCATGTTCTTTCCGTAACGATAACGATGCGCAAGGCGCGCTTGGAGCTTAAAACTGGCAGCTGTACTGCCACAGCGTGTGCTCTGTTCTTCGCTCAAGGGAACGCATGCTCGCATGACGCATGTGTGCTAAGGATGCTTGGTGTACTTCCTGCCTGAGGGAGAGCAATCGACCATCGGGACGGACAAAGCATGTATCTTGACCTGGGATGTGGTACCGCAGGGGCCTGCATCTGCTGCGATGCCGAGTTCCAGAGTGCATGCTGTTTCGGCGAACGGGTGGAAGAATTGCAGCAGCAAAGTGCAAGGTACCATCATGCTCCAGGGTGTTGGCATGCAGCCATACATGTGTTCGCAGCTCAGTCCTCCCTTTTGCGCAGCTTAGCATGGCTGGATGTCGAGTCAGGCAGAGTCCGCGATTGAGGGAAACAGGCGTCAGGAAAGGAGGGGCAGAAATCAAACCATACAGACTCTGCAGAACTCGAGCTTGTGCATCAGTGACAAGCCTAAGCTGCTCCCATCTGGACGTACGACACCCAATGTGCACTTCCAGTCGCTTCCTTACTCTCGCCTTTCCCCATGATGATGCTGAGACTCGGGCGTTGTACAGCTTCCAGCCTCGACCCAGCTACTGACTTATCAGTGTTCCAAGAATTGCTCTTGGACCCTTGCGTTTGCTGTATTGATGGTTGCACGCTGAAAATAGACTTCGCTGCTTGACGCAAGATGCACATCCAGTCTTACCAACACAGCTGAGGCTCTTTGACGACTCTTTGCTGCAGCAGTTGCCCTCGATTCCTGACTCTGGACGTAGGGAAGCTTGAGAGGCGGTGTCATGGAGTTGCAAGTTTGAGTTGAACCTAGCATCCCAGCCTCTCACAGCAAACAGCAGTCCTGAGCGATGTACCGTCACGGACCAGGAATGAGGACAACCGCGTCGTCACACTGCAGCTCGTGGATGTTGCTGGCGCGGCGCTCCAGGAGCCACCAATGGCGGTGCCGAAGATGAGAGGAATGAACAGAGATGAACAGAGGTTTCTGCTCTGGAGATACTTCTCGACCTTGACCCCTTCAAAGCCCTGCTCGGCCTTTTTCTGTTGCAAATACACCCCGAAGAGACCAAACCATCTAAACTTCCTTAACCATATCTTGTGCCTAGTGCAGCTCTGTCTGTCTCTCTCTCTCTCTCGTCATCTTCCGCAGGAGGTTAGTTGGCCGCAGCTCTCTCTTGTAGTTGAAGGCTGCATTCTTCGAATTCGCACATCTTCTACTCGCACATCCAACGGCCCGAATCTTGAAAGCCGAGACAGCCTGAGACCCTCCATATCCTAAGCCTGAAAGCAAAGGCAAAGCTGCAAAAGTTACCGGGCCAAGTTGCTAAGTTGCTAAGTTGCTAAGCTGCTCAGGCTTGCTAAGGGCTCAAGGCGGCATCTAAGCAGAAAGGAGCAGCCCCAAAGCCTCAGGTGCCCTTGGCACGGCAGGCTGGACAGCCGGGTCGAGCTACTCGAAAAGGAATGGAAAGGTAAGACAAGGTAAGGCTCCGGGCTCCAGTAGGGGCTCTGAGGGGTTCTGAGGGGTTCAGGTGCATTGTTTGATCATGATGGAGTATGGTGAGAAAGTATTATGTGATTGTATGAGCCCTTGAGTCACTGTCGCCTCTTAAGCTTACGAGTTGTTTAGCGTTCAGTTTGCAGTGACGAGATTGCCGGCTTCGGCCTTCCTCTTTGGTCTTAGGATGTCTTGGGGTTCACATGAGACGCTTAGGGCCAAGCCCCGGTTCAAAGGCAATTTCATTGCAGTGCTCGTACCTTTACTACTTCAGGCTCTGCTCTCTGAATCTTCTTCTGATCATGGTTCCAACTCGCAGAAATCGCCGGGAAGCTTTGTGTCTACGCAATCGGGAAATGTCGCGTGCTTTTCTGAGCATCACGGGCCGTTCTAGGTGGCATGTACGGTGGCATGGGCCTGGGGAAGTTCTGCATGCATTATAGCGGGAGCGGTGATGTGCCGTGATTGTGGAGCGAATCTAGTCATGCCCTGGCCGCCGTGTTCAACTCGCCGCTGCGCCTTCCCGAGGTTCTGGTGAATGGACAGAAGCCAAAGCAAGCACGACTGACATTGAAGCATCAGGAGCCCCCCATGCCAACATGTCAAAGACTCATAAAGTTAGGTGGCGTTGTTGCGAGCACGCCAAGTGAAGAACGGCACTCCGTGCTGTTTGTGTGCTTGGGTAAGCTGGCTAGGCTAACATGTGCAATTCACCTGCACCTGTTGCAAGACTTCATTCATCAGGCATGGTGAGGCAAAGGACAGACCATCACAAGTAAATGCCTCATCGACCTTATGCTGACATCACTGATCCTTGCTTGGCTCAGACGCTGCGCACAACAAGGACAGATCATGGTCCGTTCATCTGGTTTTTTATCAAAACCGATGGGCGGGCAACACTGCCCCCGACCTGTACAAAACATGCGGAAACAAGCCAGAGAGGCCTTGGCACACACACACACACACACACACTCACATCGACAAGTCTGCAATTGAGTAAGCTTCAGACTTCGGAATACTTCGGCCATGCGAGCGCTGTCGCCCACTCCACCGGCGCGGGTGTCTGTATGGCTGCACCGTTGTCATGCGGATTCGCAGGCTCATGAGCCTTGCTGGGGTTCTCGGGCTCGAGAGTGGTCACGTCGCTGTTTTGCTTGATCTTGCTTGTGGACATGCGTAGGGCACTTGGTTGGCAATGAAGAGGGGAGGAACGCTGAGTGCTGAGAGCAACACTAGAGTGCATTCCACACCTCTGGCCCAAAACACCAGACCACTCAATTCCCCCCCAAGAGCTGCGAGAGAGGCGGAGAGACAACAAGATAAGTACAATATGAAATGACAACACAACAGTATAATGTAACAATATGATCATGTAAGACTCAGAATATTTAAAATGTAATTTAGCAATCTCAGAATCTAATACTCTAAGAATCGATGGTATGCTTTTTGATACCGTTCGTGCTGTTTCGGGGGGGGGGGGGAGTGGGGCCAACAGTTGGCGCAAAACAGTTATTTCTTTGCGCCCAAACTGCATTGTTTGCACCAGTCGGTGTGCAGGGCGAGCAAGCAGTGGTTACCAAGAGTTTCCGAAACGGTCAGAGGTCAAAGTCTTAACTTCCAATGATCTTGAATCTCGGCTCTGATTCCTGCCGTTGTTGGCCCAACAATGAGGGGGGTTGGCGCACAGTGCTGAGACCTCTTCCTCAACGTGAGAGCTTCGTATCCTGAACTCCCGTGCCAGACAGAGCAAGAAGCATCAAGAAGCATCAAGAAGCCTTAGGGCTTTCAGCGCGTACTCACAGCCCAGACAACCTGAGCACAGGTTGGGTTTCTTAGTTTTCTTCGTCGCGTCTCTGTGCTCCAAAGCCTGGCCTCAAAAGGCTCAAAACAAAACTTCAAGTGACTTACTGTAAACTAGAGTGACTTAAATAAGGCTAAGAATTCGACCTGAACAAAGTCTGGCCAGCCATTCTTTTTATGTAGACAGGCAGAAGGAAACGGGTTTCGTAAGCAGGGCCACAGAACGGGCCTTCTCCCGAGGAGATGTGAGCTACCCGAGCCCAAAAAAAGCCTTGAGGATGTAAGAGTAAGTGCTTCAACAGGAGAGAGGTCCATAAACAAGAGAAAGGAATGGAATGGAGCCACAGAAGCATCGAGCCATCACAAGTCATCAGCTCGCGAGTCATTAACCATCGGCCGCAGTCTGTGGAAAAGTCCCTGGCAATACGCTCTGGAAGATTTGCGAAGTTAGAGCCTGGTAATAAAGCGTATTCATCACAGCCACAGCTTGCAGTGCTGACAAACTCGGAGAGCAGTCTTGAAGTCGCGTTAGCGCGGATATTTCGTCCACGGATTTATGCTCGAAGATCCTTCATGCCTCCATTGACGCTGACCTTGCCGCCTTCCAGTTCCCCATATATAACTGGACTACAGACACCCGTTGAAGTCGGAGAGGAATTTGAATCTTGAGACAGCTCCGCAGGTCACATCTTCTCTGTCCCTGGAAGAGGCTCGGCGACAGGCTCCCCTCCCTGCGCCACTACAAGGCGGATGTTTCTTTCGGCAGTCTGAAGAGGGTTCAGGACGTGGATTTCTATAGGCTATAGGATGTTGGCGCATTGCCGAGCTTCTTCAAGGATCCAAGCGAAGTGGTCGCACCCGTATGCAGGAGGTCCAGAGCTCTCTGCTTCCGAGGGGGAAAGGAGAATCGCTCTCACTGAGATCTTGCAGAAGGCTGTGAACTGCCAGGCTGACCGTTTTGACGAATTCCGTTATGGCTGTGGTGCATCTCGCAGTGGCCCAATGATCTCCAAAGCATCCGCTGGCTGCTAGCTTCTAGCTAGATAAGGAGAAAATCAGTTGATCAGTTCATCCAGAGGAGGGAAGCTGTAAGCAACCACAAGCAACCCTTACCTGCGCTGCGCTGACTCGCACCGACAGCAGGCGCTGGTATCGGGCGCCTGTAGTCGTTCCAGTTTGCAGAGGTGGGGCAAGAACACACAAACAAGATACGCAGCGGCACGGAGAGCAAAGCATTCATCTGTTTGTTCGAGCTAAACGGTACTGGCAACTCATACAGAGCTGCCTTTGACCATTGTCTCGGCATGTCTCACGTCACGATTAATTTGTGGTGTTGCCTGGTACTCTGTCACTTTGTACCGCTTTGTGTTTGCTCATGGGTCTTGCCTTCGTGGAGGAATCCAGACGGAGAGGGCTTGTCACTCGATGTCTCTTGGCTTCAAACTTGTCAAACATGTTCCATGTGAGCCTGATGAATCTGAGTAGACCGGTGTTGACGTTCACCCATGCTGCAAGCTGTGCGCGGCCAGCAGATTGAGCAGCTAGAGCAAGTGTGCTAGCGATGATTGCTATCACGCTCCGCCGGTCCAAGGAATCCAGCATTCTGTTCACGCCAGCGGATGCGGCAGACTTCAATCATCAATATCCTCTAATACCGCTGCTGTTCGCTGATGTGGCGTACGCTCCTGTAAAGACCCTCTGCCGACTTTGTGTTTGGGGCTTGCAGCGGGTCGGCTAGTGTGGTTTCTTTTGACGAGAACGGCGACGAAACGACCACGACCACCACCACCACCACCGCCGCCGCCACCACCACCACCACCACTATGACCACGACCACGACCACCACGACGACGACGACCAGAACCCACAAGACTCTGGCCAACAACCGGCCATGATGATGATGACGATCAAAGAGATGATGATTAGTCAATGTTGACCTCCGATAAATACCCCCCCCCTCCCCTGGGTCCATTGATTCGATCCCCCCCAGCCCTCTACTGAGGCAGGTCGGCCTTTCGCAGTTTCTTGTTGAGGCCTCAACACCCAGGATCCTGCAGCAAACGCTCAAAACGCTGGCTTAAGCGTTGATCGGAAGCCGAAAATCTTTAGCCGTGGGGTTTTTTAATTAAGGGGGTAGGGGTTATACTTGAGTTCTGGACCTGAGGGATCATAATTGAAGCGGGCTTGTAAATCTGCAGAGGACGCTAGTGCCATTGGGAACCTTGGGGTTTCAGGTCCTTGCGTCTCTCCAAACAAGCATCGTCTACCTAAGTTTCTAATGGTTTCTGGCCCTGTATTTCGGGAGTCGCTCCTTCCGATCCTGGAGAATGAGCTGTGCCACATGAATTGCTTGCGTAGAACAGGGTGCATGCATAGCCCAGCATGTAGGAATGTAGAACGAAAGTATACTGCTGTCGGAGGGTACTGATTGCAGGCATCCCAGGCAGATTTAATCTCAGGTAGAGTCGAGGTAAACCGCTGCACTTTTTGATGTCCCAGGAAGAAGGTGGCCTTCTGCAGGAGTGAGCCCGCATCATATGTGGCTACTGAGACTCAGAAACATGGTGGTGAGACTTGCCAAGTTGAAGGAATTTGCCCTGGGAACGATGTGCTGGGTCACTGGAGCCATGATGTACTGCAGCCTCCATCTAAATCGTGTTGTTTACTGCAGGTTAAATAGGTGTTGCATCGCAGTGGCGTTTTCTTCTGTCGTTTGAAGCTTGCCGAGCTCTGGCAAAGCGCACATGCCTAGCGATGCACATGATGCTTTGGTTCTCCCCGAATCGGAGACGATGATGTGTGCAGTAATTTTAACGCTACGCGACCCGCCTCGGCCCGGCCCAGCGCATCCGCGTGAGCATGGTGATTCCGCAGCGCCCAAGTTGCTGGGCCCCAAGCAATAAGGGTTGGGTTTAGGGTTTAGGGTTTAGGGTTCCGGGTGTATGGTTTATGGTTTGGGGTTTAGGGTTGAGGGTTAGTTTAGGATTGAGGGCTTAGGGCTCAAGGTTCACGCTTTGGGGTTTAGGGTTTTTTGGGTGTGGGGTTCAAGAATCGTAGGGTGGAGCCAGCCCATCAGGGGTAGGGGGGGTGGGGGGGGAAGGGGGGGCAGAGGGAGGGTGGGAGGGGGGGGTTTGTTGAAGGTTTGAGGGTTGAGTGCTTCGGTTAAGGTTTAGGGTTTCAGTTCAAGCTTAGATTCTTCGGCTCGTGTAATGCATCCCAGGCCGTGCTCACAGCAGTTGAGCCTCACCAATGTTCTGTAGTGGTTTTGGAAAGGGGAGGGTGGTTGTGGGGGGGGGGGTGGGTGGCTTAAATAGGGTCTATTTGGAAGCTGAGACTCGGGTTTTTAGACTAACCAATGCGTCTCCACGAGAGTATTCTTGGAAGCTGAGAGTGGTGTTTTTGTGTGGTAGATACAAAGGAAAGGGCATAAGAAAGTAGCGAAAGGAGCTCCTCAATTCCCTTCCTTATCTCCTATGCTCTTTTCTGTATTCATTGCAACAGGAGAATACAGGAAAAGGGCCTCCATTCCCCTCTTGTTCTTCCTTTCTTGTGTTTTTGTCATTTAAAGGGGAACAGGAGAAGAGAAGGGAAAGAGAAGGAGAGAGGAGAGATAAAAGGAAGACAATTTTAATGGGAAGAGCCAAGAAAAGAATAGAAAAGAGAGATGAACAAAGAAGATGGAGAGACAAAAACAAGGCGCAAAGAAAATGGCACTCTTCTTTATCTATCCTCTCTCCCTTCTCTCTCCCTTCCCTCTTTCTTTTCGAAACAGAAAAACGAAAAAGGAAGAACTTGAAAAGGAGAAGGGTAAGGAAAAGAGCAGAAGAGACAGGCCGAAAAGAGGGATATGATGAAGTATGGGCAAGGTCCACGCGCAAGGAGTCACTCTCTGCTTACCCTTCCACTGCTTTATCATACAAGTTCCTTTCTTGTGTTATATTAGTTAAAAGGTAACAGAAGGAGAGAAGGGCAAGGGAAGTGAGAGAGGAGAGACAACAAGGAGGCCATTTGAATTTTCTGGAGGGGTACTGAAAAGAAGAGAAGACACAATAAACAAGGAGACGGATAGCACTCTTCTTTATCTATCATCTGTCCCTTCCTTGTCTCTCGCTTTTCCCTCTATAATTAAAAAATAGGTGCCCTCTCTCCTCTTCAGGAAGCCCCCTTGCCCTTATTTTGCTAGCTTTCTGAAACGACAAGGAAAACAACACATAGAAAGAGAGGAAAGGGAATGAAACAATAGGCAGTGGAGCTCTTCAGTGTCTTTACCTATCTCTTTTCTTCTTTTTCTTTTTCATTCAATAAGGAAAAGAAGCTTCCTTTGGTGTGATTTTGAGATTCAAAAGAGAACAAGAGAAGAGAAGGGAGAGAGAAAGGAGAGAGGAGAGATCAAAAGGAAACAATTTTCATGGGAAGAGCAATGAAAGTCATGGAAGAGAAATGAAGACAGGAGAGGGAGGTGCAAAATCAGGCAAAGAGAGGATGGTGCTCGTTTTCTTCTTTCCTCTCTTTCTTATCTTTCCCTTTTAAATAGAAAACAAAAGGAAGAACAATGAACATGTAAAGGAACCCATTTTCTTTTTCCGTTTGGGAACAAGGAAAAGAACAGAGGCGATAGGGCGAGAGGAGGGATTTGCTGCAGCGTGGGGAGGGTCTACGGACAAGGAGCCAACCCCGCTCACTTTCCCCATCCATTGGAAAAGAAAGGAACATGGCCTCCATTCCCCTCTTGTTCTTCCTTTCTTGCGTTTTTGTCATTTAAAGGGGAACAGGAGAAGAGAAGGGAGAGAGAAGGAGAGAGGAGAGACAAAAGGATTGCATTGTTAATGGGAAGAGCAAAGAAAAGAATAGAAGAGAGATGAATAGAGAAGAGGGAGAGACAAACAAGGCGCAGAGAAAATGGCACTCACTCTTTATCTATCCTCTCTTCCTTATCTCTCCCTGCCATCTTTCTTTTCGAAATAAGAGAACAAAAAGGAAGAACTATGAGAAGGAGAAGGGTAAGGAAAGGAACAGAAGAGATAGGCCGAGAGGAGGGGTATGACGAAGTATGGACCGGTCCACGCGCCAGGAGTCACCCTCTGCTTACCCTTCCACTGCCTTATCATACAAGTTCCTTTCTTGTGGTTTATCAGTCAGAAGGAAACAGAAGGAGAGAAGGGAAAGGGAAGTGAGAGGAGATAACAAGGATGCCATTTTTTCTGGAAGCGCAACTGTACCGGAATGTGGCCACAACAAGCAGGCCAGGGAGGCTCAGGCGGGGCAAGTCTCTCCCTAATTAGAAAAAATCAACCTTGCTATTCACAGGTAGGCGCCCTTCTTCCTCTTCAGGAAATCGCCTTTCCCTTATTTTGTTATTTTGCTTTTTGAAGCGAATAAGAAAAACAACAAAAAAGAAGAGAGGACAGGGAATGACTAGGTAAAGAGAGGAGCTTTTCAATTTCCTCCCTATCTCTTATGTTACTTTTCCTTCTTGGGCGGGTGTCCTTTTTTCTTCCTTGAAGATGCAGAAAACTATCAAAAAGGACACCCGATCCATCGCCCACAATTCCCTTCCTTATCTCCTATGCTCTTTTCCTTATTCATTGCAACAGGAGAATTCAGGAAAAGGGCCTCCATTCCTCTCTTGTTCTTCCTTTCTCGTGTTTTTGTCATTTAAAGGGGAACAGGAGAAGAGAAGGGAAAGAGAAGGAGAGAGGAGAGATAAACGGAACACAATTCTAATGGGAAGAGCCAAGAAAAGAATAGAAAAGAGAGATGAACAAAGAAGATGGAGAGACAAAACAAGGCACAAAGAAAATGGCACTCTTCTTTATCTATCCTCTCTCCCTTCTCTCTCCCTTCCCTCTTTCTTTTCGAAACAGAAAAACGAAAAAGGAAGAACTTGAAAAGGAGAAGGGTAAGAAAAAGAGCAGAAGAGACAGGCCGAAAAGAGGAATATGATGAACTGAAAAGAAGAGAAGACACAAGAAACAAGGAGACGGATAGCACTCTTCTTTATCTATCATCTGTCCCTTCCTTGTCTCTCGCTTTTCCCTCTATAAGTAAAAAAAAAAAGGCGCCCTCTCTCCTCTTCAGGAAGCCCCCTTGCCCTTATTTTGCTAGCTTTCTGAAACGACAAGGAAAACAACACATAGAAAGAGAGGAACAGGAATGAAACAATAGGCAGTGGAGCTCTTCAGGGTCTTGACCTATCTCTTTTCTTCTTTTGCTTTTTCAAACAATAAGGAAAAGAAGCTTCCTTTGGTGTGATTTGAGAATTAAAAGAGAACAAGAGAAGAGAAGGGAGACCCGGGCTCGAAATTTAGTATTGAGGGGGAGGCCCGGGCTCGTGATTTAGTATCGGGGAATTTAAAAAATCAATTTCATTTCAATGTCCAGGGGCCCGATTTGGCCAAATTTTGCCGGGCAAAATTTGGCCAAATCGAGCCGCGCATTTCTCATCGCGTACGACGAGCAGCCTGATTAGGCCAAATTTTGCCCGCAGACTGCCCGGCAAAATTTGGCCAAATCGAGCCGCGATAGTTTAAATAATTTCGGGCCTCCAGAAAAGCGCGGCTCGATTTGGCCAAATTTTACCGGGCAGCCTCCGGGCAAAATTTGGCCAAATCGGGCTGCCCTTCGTATGCGATGAGAAATGCGCGGCTCGATTTGGCCAAATCTTGCCCGGAGGCTGCCCGGCAAAATTTGGCCAAATCGAGCCGCGCCTTTCTGGAGGCCCGAAATTATTTAAACTATCGCGGCTCGATTTGGCCAAATTTTGCCGGGCAGCCTCCGGGCACTTTTGGCCCCCCGCCCTTTTCGGATTTAAATTATTTAAATTATTTAAATGATTTAAATTATTTAATTCCAGGGTGGAATTAAATAATTTTAATAATTTAAAGCCCCCTTGCCCTTATTTTGCTAGCTTTCTGAAACGACAAGGACAACAACACATAGAGAGAGAGGAAAGGATTGACCGGCAAAGTTGCTCCTGCCCCAGGCCCTCCTGGGCCCCAAGAAGCAATGAAACATAAGAAACAGATGAAGGATGAAGCAGATGAAGCAGATCATGAAGATGATGAAGATGATGGAGATGATGAAGATGATGAAGATGATGAAGATGATGAAGATGATGAAAATGATGAAGATGATGAAGATGATGAAGATGATGAAGATGATGAAGATGATGATGAAGCTGATTGGGATCATTGATGTCAAGGATGCACATGAAACATATTGAAACAACCGTGGAGATGAGAGAGATGATGGGGATGATGAAAAAAGATGATGAAGACGATGAAGATGATGATGATAGATGATGAAGATGATGACGATAATGAAGATGATGATGATGATGATGCGGATGAGGATGAGGATGATGATGATGAAGCTGATTGAGGGGGCCCTCCCGCAGGAGGGATTGAATAATTTAAATATGAAGGCCCCGATTTAAATATGAATATTTAATTCGGGGCCTTCATATTTAAATTATTTAAGTCTTCCTGCGGGAGGAAGCCCGGCCCCCCCCCCTCCAGGATTTAAATTATTTAAATTATTTAAATTATTTAAATTATTTAAATTATTTAATTCCCGGGCCCGATTTACATAATTTAAATATGAAGCTCCCGAATTAAATATTCATATTTAAATCGTGGCCTTCATATTTAAATTATTTTAATCGGGCCCGGGAATTAAATAATTTAAATAATTTACATAATTTAAATAATTTAAATAATTTAAATCCTGGAGGGGGGGGGGGGGGCCTCCTCCCGCAGGAGAATTAAATAATTTAAATATGAAGGCCCCGAATTAAATATTAATATTTAATTCGGGGCCTTCATATTTAAATTATTTAATTCCTCCTGCGGGAGGAGGCCCGGCCCCCCCCGCTCCAGGATTTAAAATATTTAAACTATTTAAATTATTTAAATTTTTTAGATTATTTAAAATATTTAAATTTTTTAATTCCCGGGCCCGATTTAAATAATTTAAATATGAAGGCCACGATTTAAATATGAATATTTAATTCGGGAGCTTCATATTTAAATTATTTAAATCGGGCCCGGGAATTAAATAATTTAAATAATTTAAATAATTTAAAAAATTTAAATAATTTAAATATTTTAAATCCTGGAGGGGGGGGGGCCGGGCCTCCTCCCGCAGGAGGAATTAAATAATTTAAATATGAAGGCCCCGAATTAAATATTCATATTTAAGTCGGGGCCTTCATATTTAAATTATTTAATTCTTCCTGCGGGAGGAGGCCCGCCCCCCCCCTCCAGGATTTAAATTATTTAAATTATTTAATTCCCGGGCCCGAATTAAATAATTTAAATATGAAGCTCCCGAATTAAATATTCATATTTAAATCGTGGCCTTCATATTTAAATTATTTAAATCGGGCCCGGGAATTAAATAATTTAAATAATTTAAATTTAAATAATTTAAATAATTTAAATCCTGGAGGGGGGGGGGCGGGCCTCCTCCCGCAGGAAGAATTAAATAATTTAAATATGAAGGCTCCGAATTAAATATTAATATTTAATTCGGGGCCTTCATATTTAAATTATTTAATTCCTCCTGCGGGAGGAGGCCCGCCCCCCCCCCCCTCCAGGATTTAAATTATTTAAATTATTTAAATTATTTAAATTATTTAATTCCCGGGCCCGAATTAAATAATTTAAATATGAAGCTCCAGAATTAAATATTCATATTTAAATCGGGGCCTTCATATTTAATTCAGGCCTGGGACCCCCCCTAGGACCTAAAATAGGGTCTATTTGGAAGTTGGCTCTTGTAAATAAGTATACGTTTTGGGGCCTTTTTTCCTCTTGTGAACACGAGTGCCAGCTTCCAAATAAACCCTATTTAAGCTGCACACGGGGGGGGGGGGGGGGTAGGAGGTGGAGGGGGGTTGGGTTGGGGGGGGGGAGGGGGGAGGCGGGGTGGGGGAGAGGGGGGAGGGGGGGAGGGGGGGGAGGGGGAGGGGGGGGGGGAGGGGGTCAGGGGAAAAAGGGGGGGGCCCCTGCTGGGAAGGGCTGCAACTGCTTCTGGTCCTGGCGAACCATCCGCTGGCGGCCCCTGCTCCCCTAGGGGGGGTACCCATTTTTGGCAAAAAAAGGGGTCCGAAAAGTGGAGGGGGGGTGCCTGTTCTGACAACCTATACACCTTCGGCCCGAGGCTTCGGCGGATTTTAGCGCTACGCGACCCCGCCTCGGCCGGAGCCTGCCGGGCGGGGAGGCGCCGGTACTGTAGCATTCAGGAGGTTTTCGAAACACACCGTCATGTGGCTACCGGCTTATATATACCAGGATGATGTACAGAGCCCCCCCCCCCCCAAACTCGCAACCTTCTGATGCACCGTTTGCTCCCAGACACTGTCACCTGGCGGTAACCATTTCAGGCAAAAGAGTGCCAAATAAAGGGGTGCAATCTGTCCGCAGTGATTAGAGGTGGGGTACCTGCTTTATGCTACCCAGACACCCCGATGTCGCCTGCGTCCTTCCATGACAAGTTCAGCTTGAAAAGAAACCCAAAAGAACAAAAAGTCCAGAGCTTTGCATTCCATTCGAGTGCACCGGAGTGGGGGGGGGGGCTGGTGGGGCGGCGTACCCAGACGCCTGCGGCCCCAGGCCTCGGCGGATTGCTTCTAGCAGAGTCTCGCAGTCAGAGCACTACAAGGTTCTCATCGCGCCGCGATGTAGCGCCGAGTTGGCGCAAAATGAACAAGTTTGGCTGCTCCTCCGCTGCATGCAGCGCTCTCTTGTCCGACTGCCTGGCGTGGTGCAAGTAAATCGTGCAGACTCCAGCAAGGATCTGCCTGGGCAAGTGCAGTGAAGCCGACCTGCATCTTGCCAGCATGGTCAGAAGGCATCGTGTACACTTTGGTCGGAAGGAAGCTCTCGTCAGAAGAGATCGGATCCTGGACCCCTGCCCACCAAGCCTCGACCAAGCCGGAAGATCTGCGTCTTTGTGAGTGGTCTGATTTCTTTAGTGGTCCCACGTGGCAGGAGCTTGTCCCTGCCTGTACACTTTGCTTCGAAACTGTGAAAACAGGCCTGGGAAGACTTAAAAGAGTTGCTGAGTTAAGGGTGATCCCCAGTCAGACTTCCTGCGCTGATGCTGAGGAACGGTTTCCTCTTCCATCTCAGTAGACGGGGCGCTCTTCGATGGGACGTGAAGCAGTGCTACAGCATCAACAGGACAGCTTTAAGCGTTTGAGCTATGCTGAAGCTGCAACCCAACCTGGAAAACCTGCATCTGCCACCCGGAACCCATCAAACAGCATCTGACAGCAGGCAATGAGTTTCTGGTTGCTGAATTCTCGGAAAGTGTGGCCCAGTGTGGTAGTTGCCACAGTCGGCGACTAAAGTTGGTCGGCCGGGCTTCCCTTCATCGGGTTGTTTCCCTCGGCTCTTGAAAAGTGAACCTGTTTTGGTGCTCTGGCATCAACTGATGGGGATCGTGCGGGACAGTGTAGCCTTGCACTCCTCCCCCACCTCCCCTCTCCTGCCTCTCTGCTCCCCCCCTTCTCTCTCTCTTTTGTGTTGTATTTCTTCGCTTTGTGTTCTCCTTGCCTGGCTCACTCTCGCTCGCTTTCCCGTCTGCACCCACGAAGTGCAAAGCAATTTCAGAAAGCTTCGGTGGCTGTAGAGGTGTTGGAAGCAGGGTGCCCTAAACCCTGCTGGCAAGAAAGCTCCCAAAGCTCCACAAGCCTAGACAGAGTATGTTGGGGTCGGCTGAAGACATGCAGCAGAGCTGCTGCCTGTCGCTGGCAGCATGCAGCTGAAAGCTAAAAGCTAAGAAGCCACTTCAGGCCTGAGAATATATCCTCCAGAGCCCCCCGCCAGGCGATGTCGTGGGGTAGGTGGTCAGGGTGCAGCAGCTTGGACCCTGAGGGAAGAGGCAAATTCGGCCTTCGGGCCTTCGGGGCCTTAGGGCCTCAGGGGTCGGGAGTTTGCGACATAATGAGACAGCACTTGACGTGCACTTGATCTTTGGTTGGTAGGGGGCACTGGTTCCAGCAGCTGGCACATGCACCTTCCCAGGCTCACCAGGCCCACTAGGACTCTAGGTGCCAGATCAGATAGTTCTGATACTGACAGTTCCGGCTTGACTGCGGCTTACCACCGAACTGAAACATCCTGACACAAAGCCTGTGAAGACCGACATAGACCGACTCCGAGGTTTTCACCGGAGTTTCTCGGACACCCAACGGCGATTCTCAGGATGCGAGGCCACGGGGCACCGCGCGTTATCAACATGGTGTTGAAGGAACGTATCGTACTTTACCTGAATGGCTGTGGCAATCTGTGGCACATCGGCTCATTGTTTGAATTGTTTGCGAACAAGGGTGCCAGTGGCATGTCTAGGTGACGATGCCCGGAATTTGCAGTTATCCAGCCTACCCTGCGCTTCGCCTACGCTGTGTAAAGTGTGCAGTAGCATTGCGTGTCCTGCTGCGATACTTCGCAACCTTACACGTCCATGTGCCAGTGCAGACAGTGCAATGCAAATGCAAAACTTTAGAGCTACATGACCGACGCAGCTGCAAAAACGTTTCCACCCCAAACCTAGACAGATGCGACACCGGTCAGGATTCTGCGCGAGGTCCGAGGGCAACTGGTGCTCCCAGGCCTTGTGCCCCTGTAAGTACTGCAATGGTCGAGGAGTCAGGCAATGTCAGGCACAAGGATGTACAAGGTGCTGAGAGGTTCAGGTTTTCGAGTTCGGGACATGCAACACCTCCGAAGCCTCCGAAGCCTGAACCTCACCGGAAGCTGGAGTTGTGCCTGGCGTTTGAGATTGCTTGTGTTCCTCCATATCATGATGTTATGGGCCCCACGTATCCCCATGTCTTGTCACCCCAGGAGTGCATGATCTGGATCAGGCGGCGGTGAAGGTCGCCTGGCACAGAGCTTTGGAAGGGAGCTGTACTGTGATGGGCTGTGATTTACTGGGTAGTGCTGGTCGGTCGAGGTTGTTTCTGGTTCCCCGGAAGCCCTCGAACCCAACGTTCGCTACTCACTGTTCAATTTAGGATGATTAGGGTGCGCCGAAGGAGACCGTTCCGTCCAGCTCTGTCCTGAGGTTTGGGGCAATGGGTCGCTGGCTGCATTTCGTGCAGAGGTCGGTCATCTGCAAAAGATGCCTCCTGGTGGCATTCGGCATGCGCGACATTTCTAACGGGTTTCAAGGTGTCATTGTCCAGGTATGGGACAGCCTTGAGGCGCTTCTGACCACTTGCAGCGGTTACTTCAACGACAAACAGTCAGCGGAGGTCCAGGCAGCCCATAGCCTCACAATGCTTTTTCTAGCAGGACTGACAGGCAGCATGCCGGCAGCATGCTCAGCATGCTCCATGCGTGCTTTCTATGCCTAGGTGCGGCCATCCCAACATCAGCACCTTGCTTGGAGTGCCTCCTGACGTATGATGGACACTTTCTGAGTAAATATGGCTGGCGACGAGTGCTTGGTCATGCTGTCAAGAGTTGAGGTTTTGTGAACTGGGTGGAGATTCTGCACAGAGGCCGCAGTGGGCCTGGACCTGAGGTTTACAGTGCAGGTGAGTTGTCACGTGCCATGTCGTTTTCCATCTTCGATGGTCAAGCAGCCTTTGCAGCGTCGGAACCCACAAAGAAATTTTCACTCGGAGAGCACGGGTGAACTTCCTGGACAGAACACCAAGGTTATGGTGATGGAGCTATGTCCCGGGGGCGACCTGCTTCTCGGAACCACTTGGATTGTTCAAACCTCGAGGGTCGAGGGTATGGTGGTGGTTATAAGACAGATTGCCGCGGTTTACCAGTCAGGCCGTGTGATTTTGAGAGATGTTGCGAGTGCTGAGAAATTGTCGTGCTGAGTAGAGGGACGGACCCCGCTAACTGGACGTGTGTCCCGAAATAATGTCCTGACAGCAGGTTTGACCTCGTCTCCGACGGCGTGCCTCCTCTGCAAGGGAGGGGGGCGGGGGGGGTGGGGGTTCTGCGATTCTGGGGGATGAAGTGGGATGAAGGAAGTTGCCCAGCCGATGACAGCCGCCGAAATGACTGAAAACCAAAACAACCCCAATGCAACATCACAAAAAGATAGAGTTGGGAGGTGTCAACAGAACTGCTTCTACCTTCCAAGTTGTGTTCTCACAGATGCTCGGCAAGGTCATCCCACAAGAGAATGTGCTGCAGATCATGGTGGGCGTATTCTCCGCCCTGGCCTATGTGCACCGTGGCGTCCCATTTGGCATGCATCTTGTGAGCGAGTGCAAGGGCACCTTGTGGCACACGCTTCTGTCAGTCTTAGTTGCGCAGCATAATTAGACTGGACTAGATGTGGATAATTATGGGTCGCTACTTCATGTGCCATCAGCGTTGCGCAGATGTTCTTGCAATGTCATGTGCCATTTCATTGTGTGCCAGCATGGAGCAACAACTGCGCATTCCACCCATGGTCTTACGCAGTTGCTCTACGCAGACCGTGCAGTCAAATCAAATCCACCATGCAAGTCTACTCCAAATGCATTGCCTTTGGCCCCAGATGAAGAGCCCTTTTTTGCTCGCCCTTGCTTGCAATTCAAGGAAGTCCTATCAACAACGCGCGAAGCTCCCATGCCGTTCTTGAACTTTAGAGCTTGTCGCTTCAAACCAGGCACAGCCATGGTCTTGTCCATCGAGCAGCTTGAACGCATATGTAATCATATGTATTGCGAGCTTTTGGGGGAGCAATATGCCTTTGTGCGACTTTGTGCGACTTTGTGCCTTTCGTGTTGGCCGCCCGCCTTTCGGTCAGAAGGCCCCATCCGAATCCAAGCCGCAGCCAAGGATGTGAAAGCTGAGAACGTTGTGCTTCACGGTGAACGTGCGGTACTGATAGACTTCGGTATCGCCCCTCGGGTTGAACAGGTGCTCGGGATGTTTCCATTCGGCAAGGGTTCGCTGTGGCAACCAGGCAGTTTGAACACTTTTGGCTTGCTTCTTGCCCAGGGCTTTTCTTTCAACCGCACTTTTGGATATGTTGCGGCAAGGTCTTGACAGCTTCCAAATCCACACCCCCTCCCCCCAAGTTTTTCAGATCCCTCGGTATCAGGCATGTCGTATCGATGATGCCGATGAGATGCGACGGAGGTGCGCGCAGCTTCACACATCAAAAGAAAAGGAATGGCGATCTTATCCTCTGTGGCCGTCGATAAACTCCAGCTCAATCCTTTCATCAAGTGGCATCTCCTCAGTCGGACTCTGCTCTGATAGCATCACAGAGGTGTTGGCAGCCATGGCCCTTGATAGCACTGTCAGCACTGTCATAGCCAGGGTGGGCTCTCCGGGCTACGTGGCACCGGAGATTATCCGGGGCAATCGGTACAACGAGCTCGCTGCTTTGGCTGAACGCAGCGGGTAGAATTTAGGTTCTTGACGTGACATGGGTTGTCCGTGGCCGATCTTGTTTGCATGCAGAATACAGATCCATGTCCCTCTATTTTAGGAGCCGTTTCGCACCACCCACTCTTCTCGACTGTTTCGTAAGCCGCCATCTCGGCTTCATGCAGTAGCACACACGGGATCTGCATCAATGTATCTTCAAAAAAGGGGGGGTGGACTAGCGCTTCGGCAATCTTATGCATTTTATGTTGCGTGGTGCCCTATATCGGGGGCTATCATTCTGACCCTCAATTGCGCTTCATGCGGAGAGGTGGACATATTCGCTGCCGGCGTCATCGTTTACTTCATGCTGTGTGGCAGTGTCCAGCCTGCACTAGCATGTCACCGCACTACCAGTTGACCAGATAAAGCACGCTCATCCACGAGGATGTGATTGCTGTTCGAACATCAGTGTATTGACGATGACCTTACATGTGTAAAGCCATGCAGATGTCATGGCGCGATATTGTATTGGGTATCGGCTGACATCAGCTGCAAAAGCAGCACACAATAGCACACAGAGGATCACCTATGCCGCTGATCACCAGACGTGTCCTGCATTTCTTAGGATTGCCGTTCGCAGCAGAACGTCAGGACAGCATCCTGGAGTTCCCTGGACAGCACTTGGGTGGGATGACACTCCGAACGTGTGAGCTTCCTTTCCTTTACCATTATTATAATTCATTGCTTACACTTGTCGACAGGAAAACCGTGAAATGCGACGTGAACTATGGCTCAGAGGCCTTCGGCCGAGTGGCCCCGCCGCTACTGAACATGGTGCGGCAGAGCTTTGGATTGGCAGCCTTTGGTAATGGATTGGCAGTTCTTAGGGTTTGCTTACATCGTGGCCCAGATCGTGTCAGCTAACCTCCGACCAAGACTTCTGGGGTCTGCAAAATGTCTGAGAGTCTGAGCAGTTCTGGACACCTGGTTGATGGCTCTGCTTTGCAAGGATGATCACTCCAAGCATCCCCAGTCGACCGAGTGCACGGTCTTGCTTCGAAAACCTGAGCTCCATTGCTAGCCGGGCAGTCAGGACACACCAACAGACGTGCTTGTGGGGTTGGCGAGGTTGTGACGACACCTCTAAGGCATTTGGCATCATGTTGACGAACATCGCAGCATGCAGTGCAAAGCAGCGGAAGCGGTGTTATTGACACAGATAAACTGGCAGGATGTCGGAGGCCTTCAGAATTGCAAAGAAAGCGCTGGTGGCTCGGCAGCAGTTGTTTTCTCTAAATGCCTGTGCGACTGTGTCAGGTCTGCCAAAGCTAAGGAAAGCCTGGAGGGGACGGTGAGCTCAGAGCCATCAGTGCAGCTGCAGTCAACATCAATCACTGCGGCCACCGGCCGCCGGGCTTGCGATGGCTTGCGGAATTGGGCAGTGAGTTGCTTTGGACTATAGTCGGGAGTCGAATTGTAAGAAAATTCCAGGCGCATTTGCAGAGCTCACCTCCTCAACCGACCATATGTTTGTCTGGATACTACCAACATAGCCGTACGCAGGAGAATGATCATGCAGTATCATTGCCCGGCGGTCAAATGTGAACGCAGGCTTTGATGGCGGTGCGTCAAAGTTCGGATGAGTTCCCAAGCGGTTGGGTTCTTTAACAGACGAAGGTCTGCCATAGATACTTTAAATTCTGTCCTTCACTCTATTGAGCGATGTTCAGGTCACGACACCGAGGGGACCTTGCTCCGTTCCTGCTCGCTGTGGCTAGCGCTGCACTCCCCAGAGTTTCCCCAGCTCACAGAATTTTTTCAGGGCATGTTTTTGCAAGGTTCGCAAAACCGCAAAGTGCGAAGTACTGCAATGACCATGATTTTCAGCTTATGATGAGCAATGCCTCAGATGGGTTCGACATGTTTCGCAAGGCATCGCACGGCTTACTAGCTTATCAGTTTCTGTTCAGCTCATTCTGGCATCCTTCATGAACCCCATGCGACAGCCTTGATCCTGCATTGTACAGGCCACTTGAGCACCTAAAAGACCTCCAAATCTCTGCGTGTTGAAATCGGGCTGCATCATCCCGAAAGGCGCATCCCGATTCCCCGATTCCAACAGGAGCCCGAAAACATCCTCAGAACCTGAGTTTCCGTTGGAGACTTCAGTCTTGGAAAGACCTACAGGCTATTTTCCTGGCATGTTGAGGCTATCTCAAAGGTGCTGCGCTTTTTTAAGTCACTTGTGGGCCATGGCGACACGGCCAGTGAGAATTTCACACCCTGCATCATGGCTCTCGTGTTCTGCATATGTTCTGCATATCACATCATATCACTTTCCCTTTTAAAGCAAATGCCCAAGGGCATCCATCGAGCGCCCTCAGCGTCAGACATCTGGACCCCCTCCTTCGCGCGCGGGCTCGGCCAGTCACTGCGCAGCCTTGGAGGGGGCCAAAGGACTTTGAAGACTTTCAGCTTGAGGAGTTGAAAGATTCTGAAAGATCAGGTCGATGATTTTGGAAACTATCCAGGCGTCTGCATCTGTGAATTAGGTGGGATCAACCATTTGTGCATTGGACTTCGTGGATAGCAAGGCTAGGACATGGCCAGGTGCCGTGTGATCTTATCTCAAATCATACTGGATGCGATGTGTTTCATCCAACCTTCGCACAAGACTGCGCCATGCAGCTCAGGAAAGGCATTGCTGCTTAAGCCCTCACACTCCCTCACACAAATATCAAGCTGACACTGGGCAGACTGCAGGTGTTTGGCAGCTGCTTCAGGACGCAGTTGCAAATGAGGGGGTTCATCATATTCCTGTCATTTTGCAAGCTGAGTCGTGTTCGAAGCAAATCCCGGCATGAGAAAAACGACAGTGACAGAGTCCAAAATCCCAACAGGATTGGCGTTGACTAGCATGGACTGCGCGTTGAACTAGCAACCATGTAGAATCTGAAGCGTGCCCGTGCATCCTCCCCTCAGACATTCTCATCTTCGTTGCAGAGGCCAGGCTTTGAAGCCAACGATTTGTAGATCAGATTGAAGGGTGATGCACAGCCTCCAAAACGTCACGATGATGTTGAAAAAATGAAAAGTAGCAGGTGCAGGAAGGTGGCCAGCCTGCCATCCCTCCCCCCCACCCCACTTCCTCCACTCCCACATCCGCACACCCGCACATCCACCCACCCACACCCATGCCCACACCCATGCCCACACCCATACCCATACCCACACCCAGTCCCGCATTCATACCCACACACCTGCATACCCACTCTATGCCGCATGCCGAAACGGTCCGCCGAGGCGGGCATCGGTTTGCAGCTGCTCCAAGCGATCGGGGAAGGGGGGTCCACAGGGAGGGGGGGGGGTCTCATGTCCTTGGATGTGAGCATAGAAGCTTTGATGACACCATCATTGGTACATTGAAAAACATCCCAACATAAAATGTTTGGGTGACACGTCCTGAGAACCGTCGCATGTCCGCTCGCGGCTCATGCATGATGCCTTCTTTCAATCTTCCATGTGGTGGCCGCACTGCTACAAACAGAATCCGAAAAAACTGACGAAGAATTACGGTACGAATGCGTCTGAATGTGTGCGAATGAATGTCTGTGCGTGTGTGCGTGTGCCTGTGCATGTGAGACCCATGTGAGGAGGCATGCTGCCACAGGGCATCACAAATCTTCCAAAGAAAATGAAAGCTGCTGCTTACAGCAACAAGAGCAACTTGGAGTACGTCTACTGCTGGGAGGAACGAACAACCAGCACGCACAAAGTCTTTTGCCAAGAAGGCGGGTAGACTGTGTGATAGCTAACAACACAGGGGACGAGGTTAGGTGTGTTTGTTCGTGCGCGAGAGCGGCTTTTGATCTTGTTGAAGCAGATCTCTGCTCGTGCATTTGACGCTCACAACTCTCATTCCCTGACTCTCGCACATACACTTACACTCTTGCTGACCCCGCGAAAGGGTTAGTTGAGCTTTTTGAGCATGGGCATTCTCTCCGGCTCTCTGCTTGCGAGAACGAGAACATGTACTGACATGTATTCCCATCTTGCAGCTCACCCACCACACCCACCACACCCACCACTGCACCCACCAGTGCACCCAACACTGCACCCCCACCGCCACACCCACCGCCACACCACTGCACCCACCACTGCACCCACCACCGCACCACCGCACCACCACACCCTACCACACCCACCACACCACCCACCACACCACCCACCACAGCACCCACCACTGCACTCACCACAGCACCCACCACTGCACCCACCACTGCACCCACCACAGCACCCCACTGCACCCTGCACCACTGCACCCACCACCAGCACCACCACTGCACCCACCACAGCACCCCCTGCACCACCCACCAGCACCCACCACACCACCCACCACAGCACCCACCACTGCACCACCACACCCACCAGCACCCACCCACCACCCAGCACCCACCACGCACCCACCATAGCACCCACCATAGCACCCACCACTGCACACCACCACCAGGACCCACCACACCAACCACCACAGCACCCACCACTGCACCCACCATAGCACCCACCATAGCACCCACCACAGCACCCACCACTGCACCCACCACAGCACCCACCACTGCACCCACCACACCACCCACCACAGCACCCACCACTGCACCCACCACAGCACCCACCACACCACCCACCACAGCACCCACCACTGCACCCACCACAGCACCCACCACTGCACCCACCATAGCACCCACCATAGCACCCACCACAGCACCCACCACTGCACCCACCACAGCACCCACCACTGCACCCACCACAGCACCCACCACTGCACCCACCATAGCACCCACCATAGCACCCACCACACCACCCACCACACCACCCACCACAGCAACCACCACACCACCCACCACACCCCACCACACACCACCACACCCAACCACACACCCGCCTCACCCCACCACACCCCACCACACCCTACCACACCCACCACACACTACCTGGTCCAAAGGGTGCTGACGACTCAGGGAATTGTGAAGCCGCCCGAGCTGACCGGTGTTTGAACAAGAAGAAATGATGGTTTCATGCGAAAAGGGGGGGGGGAGGCATGGTGGGAACGTAGAGGAAATGAGGTGGAACGTGAGAAGAAGAGAAGGAGTTGCCCTCCGCTGCTCGCCGAAGCTTCGCGCGCATCTCCAACTCCGGATCCTTCACGGCCATGAGGCCACTGGGCAAGATTGGGCAAGTGCTGCCGATGTCGTGGTTTCGCTGAATTACCCTGAAAAGTGTCAAAGGCCTCTGAGTGCAGATTTTAGGTGAATTGGCGAGTCTAAGCTTTGCTAATTCGGAGTGTGTCCAGGGTCAAACGAAGCCCCCTCAAGCGCAGAATCCTCAGTCTGGTCTCGGTGTTTAAGTAGTCCAAAGCTGCTATTGGTACAGTATATTGGCACAGTATTCGTATCGTTGAAGTTGAAGCCCAGATGGTGCTGTGAGGCAGATGTGCAACGTCGCAGGAGATCTGCCGAAGGCCGGTGCTGGCAACTTAGTAGCTTTTTGGCTTTGGCACGGACGGCATTCTCAGTCAAGCGTTTCGAACCAATCTGCAAATTTCAGTACGTCTTACTAATTACGTCATACTCCGTCATGCTGCTGCGCCATGCTCCGTATACAGAATATCACAGTGAGATGGCTTTACTGACTCTGCTTGACAACGGCAGGTTGCACTTGCCAGGCTGTCTGCATCCAAAGAGTCTGCGCGGATCTCAGCCCCGAGTAGCCCAAGCTATTCTGTCAGAGCACCATATAACACTCGTGCCAAGTTTTGAATGAGGTTCTGTTCGAGGAAGGGGGACAGAGAGAGAGATAGGAGAAAAACAAAAAATCATTGTGTGTGTGGCCGACACTCTACAAGCCCCAAGTGCGGTTTGCCGATACGCTCAGATCCGATCACACTCCAGCGACTCTGAACGCATCTCTACTTTGCAGCTGGTGCCCCGGCTGAGAAACACACTGAAACGATGCTTGCTGCCAGGAGCATTCGCGTAATTGCTTCTCGTGTTTTTTCGGATTCGCATGTCATCCTGTTTTGCAGGTGCCTGTGGTACCCAATAGTGGACAGGACTTGAAGAGACTTCATGCACCTCTGTGGGTTCAGGGGTGATTACTTGCAAGTGCCCTGAGTGTTGCTGTGAAGAGCTAGTAAGAGTTACGCTTGTACACGGTACTACGCAGCATACAACAACTCCTGACAGTCCATGTCGTGGTAGCACTTCTGCGCCTTTGAGTCCGTCGAGTCCAGGAGCCCGAAGCCTCGACGGTTCCACAGAAGGTGCCTGCGGCAGTTCTCAAAATCCCATGTTGATCATGTTGTGAGCATTATTGAGCATTATTGAGCATCTCTCAATATTTCCCCTAAAGCTATACATCGGTTCACTCATCTTGGGCGGGCGTCTCCAAGGCACAGCGTCGACCGTGGACAGGAAGTCGCTTGACAGTGCCCTCCAGATCCAGCAGCAAGGCCGAGAAGACGAGCATGATGTCGTGCTACCCCTCTGCCTTCTTAAAGCAAAGTTCCAGAAGTTCTGCTGTAGATGCTCAGTGGTCACTCTGTGTCACAACGTGCCAGTGCGCATGCCATGGCACACATCGTGCATTCCCCACAGAATCTCTGCATGCGGGTTCGTATTCGTCACGTGGTAACTGGGGGTTGCAGCGTTGCCGCAGAGACAAGCAGTTATTTTGCTCAGAAGCGTATTTTGCACAGTGTTGTGCAGACACCAGCCCCGAAATTGTGGCTAGAGCAAGCGGCCCCTACGACCGCCGACAAGTTTGCTGATGTTGAGCAGCGTTGATTTGAGCGCCTTCGATGGACTTCTGGGCCCGGATTTGCATTTTGTTCGCTTGCTGGTTCCAAGTTCAACTGACTGTCAGCAAGTGCAAGCCTGCAGCACGGCTGGCTCAGGAAATGAAGAATAGCACGTCAAAGCGGAACCGCGGAACCCTTGAGCACATGTTGGACTTGCTACCTGTGCGGCGCATGTTGGGCCTGAAGCGTGGACGGCATCTTGAGTTTTACAACACCCAAACAATGGTTGTAAGAGGTGTGCTGAGAAAGCATGACAGTTCAAGAATGAGGCGCACGCTTGAGAAGGCGCCAGGTGATGGTTCACTTGCTCGTGGGTACCTGGGCTCTCTCGCGGAAAGTGGGGGAAGCGGGTGGGGGCGGTTGGGGGTGGTTGGTGGCGGTTGGGGGGGGAGGGGGGGGGGGAGGGGGGGAGGGGGGGGGGGGGGGGGAGGGGGGGGGATGGGAGGGGGGGATGGGAGGGGGGGATGGGAGGGTGGGGGGGGTGTGGGGGGTGTGGGGGGGTGCGAGGAGGGGAGGGCATTGTTTTGAGAAAAACTCAGCCCTCATGTTGCTGTCTAGAATTGTCGACCGATGCAGGAATCAGCTCGCCCGGTACCTCCACCTCGGAAAGGACAAGCTGCCTCTCGTCTCCTGAGTAACGAAATGTGCTGGTGGATTCCAATTCTTTGCTTCATCTAGGGCGTGAGTTCTTGTCATTGGGAGCGATTCTAAGCACCACTTCGTCCGATGGATTGACGACGACATTCGCTAGATGGCATAGGGTATGTATCAATGCCCGGGGTTTTGCGACAGACCTGGTTGTTGTTGTCTTGTTCCCCTTTTGGCATGCGCGCGACAGAGGTCTGTATCAAGACGGGCGTTGCGTAGGTCTGTAACAGATGGTTTCGCGCGCGGTCCGCGACAACCGGGGGTTTTGGCACACGGCCAGATCTCGCCACGGACCTTCTCTTGACAACTGTAGACCCCAACAAGCGCCACAGGCTGTTGTAGTTCGTGACGTGCGTTTGTGGCTGGCGAGAAGCAAAAGCTCAAGATCGCGCCGCAGGAAAACTATACTTTTCAAGCTCGATGTGCTAAGAGGTCTAACACTTTACAAGAACCGCCCAACCTTTTGGAACTTTGAACTCAAGCCCTTGAGGCTAGTGTTCTGGAGACCCAGGAGTTTCAGCTTTTCATGCATGCATATGTGCACAATGAAACCTATGAAACATGTATTATTCTCTATATAATATATATATATATATATATAGAGAGAGAGCACATATATATATATATATACATATATATATATATGTACATACAGAGATACATGTGCTCCCCCCCCCCCTCCCACACCCCATGATGCACACACTTGGCGTCGCGTCGGCTGTGGATGTTCTGGTTGGAGGGGTCCCAGAGACTCCAGACTCCAGATGTCCAGAATCTGGAGTACCGGGACCTCGGACTCCAGAATCTGGAGTCGGGAGTCGGTACTGGTAATCTGGAGTCGGGGGCCTCGATGCTCCAGATTCAGTCTGGAAATGTGGAGTCTGGAGTCTGGGTGCTCCAGGACCCCAGGTTCAATCTGAAAATCTGGAGTCTGGAGTCTGGGAAATCCAGATCACCGACTCGTGCTTCGTACCCAGCATCTGATCTCAGCAACCACACCCATCTCCCCCCAGCAAGCAAGTCTCACAACATGAGTTGCTCTAAGATTTTGCCTTGCGATTTCGGTTCCACCCCAATATGCAGCGCAGAACTTGGCAGGAATAAAACTAAATACTGATTATAGTGGTCGTACTAAGATCGTGAGCATTATACAGTGGGCTTAAAGCCCCTGGTGTTTCAAAGCATAAACTGTGCAATAATAAATTGTCTTGGGGTTCCCCCCCCCCCCGAAAAGCAGCGCAGAGCCTGACATGTTGTCTTGGTTGTCCGGACAATAGAAAGAATAGCGATGACAACCTGAACGCCCACGACAGCCGCGAGCATATGTCAGTTCTGCATGATCAATGCATACATTGCGAAAGCGGCCGTTTCAACCCGCATCTCTAGATCTCCTGCACCAACATCTCAGGCACGCTCGCAGGACGATGCCCAGCTCGAATACAGTGACTCCTGGCAAATCGTGCCTTGGTGGGGGATTTGGCGTAGCCCCTGCGAACCTAGAATTGGATTAGCATGCATATGGTAATCCTGAGATCGACTCCTTCGATAGGCAGGGGCATGAGCAAGGTGACCACATGTGTGAGTGAAGAGGGACGTTGAACGTAAACAACGAAGGGTGGAATGTAACAAAGGCTTCGATGCAAGTCTTTACAGGCGCTGGCTGTGCTGATGGAGGGCCGCGAGGAGAGGTGCAAGGTGCGCAGATCGAAGATTCCCATTGGCCCACCTTCTCTAAAAGCAGCTTCAACAAGTGACTTTTGAGTGCACTCGTGTCACTCGTGAGGTTTGGCTTATGGTTGAAATCACTTTTGCCAGTGGCAATCGGAACGTGACAAGACCAATTCCTGTCACAGCAATCTACGACCTATGCATGGGCCGCTGTCTACAAGCTGGCGCAGTGCAGGTCTACGATCGCAACAAACAGCTTGTGTCGCCAGACACAGCTGAGCTCAGCCAGCACCAGTTTCCGCTGACGGTGGTCTTCCTGGAGGCCAGGAATTGTCTCGCGATTCGGTGCTGTTTGGATGTTCGAGTACTGGCCCCATACTGCCATACTGCCAATCGATTCGAGTTGCTGCTACTTTTTCCTACACACTGCTATCAGAGCCTCAAACATGTTCAAATATGTTCAACAAGTTGAGCTCACGCAACTTTGGTTTTGCACAGGACATTGAAGCCGTTTTTAATATGCGGACCTCTGTCTGGAGGTAAGATTTTGATGCGTAAAAACAACTGCAGTCGCTGGGTCATGCCTCCCGGCTGTAGCGGTCCGAAGTGAAATCTTCCGTGGAGCACGTCGGTTACGACCTACTTGTATATATATACATACATACATACATACATATGTACACATGTATGCACGCTGGTCACGATGTGACCTGCATGCGACGCGTCCACAGGAGGTGGCCACCATTGTCTATTGCCCGAACTGGGAGATCATCCTCGAGAGCTTCTTGGAAAGTGGCTCCATCGAGGCTGTTCAGAGACCCAGGGCATTCCTTGACAATGCAAAAGTATGTGACCTGGGCCAGGATTTCAGGGTTCTGGACCGCAACAACCAAGAGTTCACTGTGAAGGACACGGTCGATCGAGAGCCCAGGTGGCAAAGCAGGTGGCACATGAGGAGATGAACAGATTCACATCTGCACCTTTCCCTTCTTTGTCCGGTGACTTAGAGCTGGTCTTGGCCTGCCAGAACTGAGGATTGCTTCCCGATCAAACTCTTGGCCAAGGCTTAGCTCTTGGGATATTTCGTTAGCTGTATTGTCGACCTATATGCCAATAGCAAAGCCCACCTCAATCGCTCCTTCTGTTCACTGAACGACGCCCCGCCAGGCGACGGAATCTTCCAAGAATCAGGTTCGCAAACGCCTCGGCAGCGTGTAGCTGTGAAGCCAGGGTACAGTAAGAGCCAGGGAAGGACTGCCAAGTTGATCAAAAAGCAGATGGACCCATGCATCTCGGATGTCTTGTCTGCATGGCAGCTCCAGCTTGGTCGAATTTGACACATGCAAATCATTGCACGCGCAGCTCTTGAAGCCAAGAGCACAAGCAGCTCGTCGCTTTGTTGCGAATATGCATATGGGCATCACCTTTCAGCAAGTTCGAGCTGTGGAACATAATCAGGCCGGAGACAGGCGAAGAAGCCGTTGACCTCTCCGGTGCTGCAAAATGCTGCTGTTTATTTCTTGGGCACGTAGCTGGCATGGAGGCATAGCTCCTTAGTGCTGGATTCTGGATGAGTCTCTGAGTCCTCGCGCGCCTCGCCACAGAGGATGCAGTTGCACTCGTTCAAATTTGTGAGTGAGTGGTCGGCGCTGTACAGCATCGTCTCATCATCCACTCGTTTATCGCGCTTGTGCAGATGCTGCTTTTTTTTTCCACTTGGTGCTGTGCTTTGCTGTGCAGCAGTTGGCAACTGAGCGGTGGAAGTCCTGCCATCATGGACCACACTGTATCTGCTATTTTGTTATTTCGCAACGGATAGTTGCCCGTTTCGGTCGGATTGTCACGCTACTAGCTTGCCCAGCACCATTTGACGCAAGCAGCATGGGGAACGAACCCCGTGCCTCCAGTACACATCCCGTCATTGACGCAGAGCAGATGGCCACTTTGGGCCAACACAGCTATGACTGTTGACACAAAGTTATGCACCTTTACTGGTCGTACAGGGCAGAAGCCGAGTCCTACGCCTGCTTCGACCAAATAGTTGGACCAGGTAGCTGCTTCATTTCGAACATCTTCGAACCGTAGAATCCGTAGAACTAGACAAATACAGAGGATGGAGGACTCAGGCTGGCAACATGCCCTCCTCTCGCACTGCAGTGTATAGATCGTGGTCTCACGTGCAGTAAGCTGAGGGTTCCATAATAATTTTTATTATGATGCCACGGCTGCCAAAGAAGAGTTTGCATGATTTCTCATTTAGTGGGATAGACCCTGCTAGAACGCATGGCCATGTGGTATTGATTGATCAGGAGCAGCAGATAGCCTGCGCCTTGTTCACCAGCAGAGTGCTTCAGATGATGAAAAAGTTCATGCACATCCTCGATTGTTGTTTGTGTGACGTGGGCGTGCTGCAACTCGCAGACAGCCAATGGAAATAACAAGAGACATATGCATATGGTGGCCTTCAATATCCCTGGAAAAGGCGCCAGGTCTCCTTAAGACAGAGCCTTTGCAAATGTGTGCGTTGTGTTCAAGAGCCATCTCAAAGCCCTGTTGTTTTCGGAATGGAAACCTCTGACCTGTGTGTCTGTCTTTGTTCGTAGAGAAAGCTGCCTTGAACATGCAGAAAGTCCTTACTTAATGCCAGACCAGGATCGCCTCAGTCTTGGCCACTCCGTGTCGCTGCGCTTGACTGTGCCGCTGGATGCCAGTCCAGCCAATCAGATAAAGTCACAGGCCAGCAGCACAAGGGAAATCAAGGTAGAACAAGCCCAGAACAATCCTCTATCTGCCTTGAGAAGGGCCGCTGCATGCCAGAAGACTCTCGTCGATTTTGCGTCTTCTGCTGCATCGCTTTATCCAATTTTTTGCCAACAGCGTGCCTGGTGAAACGTAACAATACCCTCTGCCAACCGCGGAGCAGGGCACGCTGGCTAAAATCGAGGACGACCTCTTCGAAATCCTCCATGGCGCTTCTAGCCTGCATATCAAGTCGCTGTGCAATCAGATCCTTCATTTTGGCTTCGAAGCGAGGTCGCAGGCTACTTTCAGTGACTCAAGGATTGTCTGTCAGAAAGTTCCGGTCACGAGGAACCCTCCCGCTCTTCCTCGATTGGGGGAGTCGTGAATCGTAAGGGGCTCGAAGTAATGGGCCGACATAAAGGGCGCCATCAGAAGAGGCCGTCGCCGTATATGGCCATCTCCGCCGTGATCGAAAGAGATGCCCGATCTTTGAGTCTGTCCAAGGATGAGGCAAGCTTCACTGACGCCCGCAGCTTGATCCACTCCATATTTGAGCAGGCTCCGCGACATCTCGATGTCATGTACATACTTGGAGATTGCAGGTACGTTGGAGTTTGCATCGAGTTCCTTATCACGTCAAAGAGCGATCTGCTGTGTTTCCCTGAATCCACGCTGATCCACACTGAGTTAGGACAGGAGACTGGACTGCATGGGTTGTTCGGGTTAGTCGAGCGTGCAACTTTGCACAGCTCACGTGAAAAAGGGGTTCTTGAGCTTGCGTGCGTGCTGAGCAGGATGTTGAACTGATGAGATACTGATGAGCATTCGATCAACTTCCGAGTCCGGAACAGCAGTATCCTGAATAGACATACTGACGACTGTCACGAGTCTGACCCTCAATTTCCGTCGCGCCTTTGCGACGTCTTTCAGCGCGGGTCGAGAGAGACAATCTTTCAATCTTGCTTGCATCTTGTGTCGCTTCATCTTTTTTTTTTTGCGGCGCTCCCTTGCGCTTTTTACTTCACAGGCAGGCAAAGATGAGACAGACTCCTTGCTGACCCTGGGCAGCTGCAGGTCTGTTGATTCTGTTGCATCTTACAGAACCAAGGTCTTCGGCCTGTCATGAATTAGTAGCGAGCAGGTCAGTGTCCAGCCACAGAGTCACAGGGCATCCTGATTCTATCATCCTCAGCTCAGGAAGACCTGCGGGGAAATTCTGCCTTTGGTGGAGGCTGGAATGTTTTCAGAATTTGGAAGCCATCCCCTCGAGAAAGCGACGTCTCTTGAGCAGCTGCCTGTTGGAAGGAGGGGAACCTCATCACGGCCCATGTGCGGCCACAGGAGAAGCTCGAATTCCGAGTTGCAGCTCGCTAGCACCCATGCACGTTGCATGCACAAAGCTGGTGGTTCATGTACAAGCACATGTAGATGTGGTTTTTTGATGAACGTGTATAAAAATGTTTCTATATATGGGTGCGGCTCAAAAGTCTAGACATGTAACTGGCTCCCGGGCGTCTTTCCGCGACATAGGGTTTGTAACAAAGCCGTTCTGCTTGCGACAAGCAGTTCGCGACAAGCAGTTCGCGACAAACCTCCGCGACAAGCCTCCGCGACAAGCCCTTGCGACAAGCCCCTTCTTGGAACTGCATGGGTTTCGTATCTGTTTTTCAAGACAGCGTGAAACAGCCGCGACAAACCCCGCGACATACGTATGAAACAAGTGGGCGCGACATACGTATGTAACATAGGCGGGTGGCGGGACACCGCGACATACCCCTTTTTAGAACCACAGCCATATAGAGTACGGATGGTATTAATTACGTATGCGTCCCAGCTCTCAGCTTTTCGCGGAGGTAGAAGAGAACGCAATCTGAGGCTGTTGGCCTGGACGTGCTCTCGGCCAAGGGCCTCCCCGAAGTTCTCGTCAGCGACTTGCCTGGAGTGACGGATTGGCATGAATTTGACATGCTATTCCACCGGTCTCACAATGCAAAGCCCAACTTTGGAGCACGTGATGCATGCGGAGGCTAAAGGATTACAACCACAGAGCCACCAACCGATGAGAAGCACCGATGGCATAGCGAATCAAAGCGGGCAAGGGACATCGTTTTCCCGCTTTAGGGTTAGCGCTTGGGTTGTTTGGCTTCCAGGTTTACAACGGTGTTTAGAGATCTTATAAGCTTTAAGCTCATGGCCCATGGCTGTGTTCAGACGTTTCTGGGCCGGAGCCTGCCTGTCCTTGCGCCCTTAGATCGTGAGCTGGGCACACCCGCGATCCAGGACCGGAAGCGATCAATTGCCGAGACCGCCTGTAAGTTTTTTTGGATGAGAACTTTGCAGCTGCTGGAAAGGCGGCGTGTCAGTCTAGAGCAGAAGGACAGTGACGGGGTTCGGGCGCTCATTCTGGACAGCCAGAAGCACGCGTCACTATATGACTGAAGGAAATGCCCTCCGGCACGCCTTCCGGCTAGTGCCAACGTTGTACAGGCACGCATTGCTGTAAGTCTAAAGTGCTAGTGCTAGAACCGCATAATTGATGATTCTTTTGCCTTATTCATCCTTAGCCTTTTCCTTGGAGCCAAAAGCCTAGCCACCAACAATTGCATACTGGAGGGAGACTGGTCTGCTTGAGCCCCCATGGGAGAATACTTAAGATTGGCCCCACTGTGGGATTGTGGAGGCTCAGATGACATGAAACCATCTTTACCAGTGTTTCTTGTCCTGCTGATTCTGACTAACAGATCCTCGGTCACGAAAGCCGTTTCCTGAGCGTCCAACGGGCCAAAGCATCCAATGAATGCACCTGCACGTGGGGCCTCCTGTTCATGTGAGAAGGGCATTGTACATGGTTCGAACAAGAATATTGATGATGCCTTTGTTCTTGCCAATCTACGGAGAGCAAGAAGACCGCCGTAAATTGCACACACCCACGAGCGAATCATTTCTTTCACAGTTGCTGTCGCTACCACCGTCTCGTCTCGAGTCTCTTCTGCATTTGTTTGGGTATGCCAAGTGACCTAAGTGAGCAATTGTGGGCCCAAGGCCTCTACAAACTGGATGATGATGCGCCTTGGCCGTCGAGGGTCCAGCATGCAGGGCTCACATGTTGGGTCGCTCAGGATGCCGCCCTGGCCCTTGCAACCCAGGACCAGCGAGGAAACGCGCTGCACTTCTACGAGGTGGAAGACTTCTCGGAACGTGTCCCGGCTCCAAAGCCCCAGGTCAAGCACGCTCAATTCTACATATTGCCAACCCCAGTGTTCATGGTAGGTATCTCCTGTAGGTAATCGGCTTCCTGGAGCAACAGGTGAGGCAATGCTCCGCATAGCTTAATGGATCAGATACGCCCTTGGCGGCTCTTGGCACGGCCCTGACGTCGGCCACACTTTCGTGCTGTTGGGCTTTCAGATGCTTTTCCGAGCCAGGTCTGACGTACATGCGCGCAGGACTCAGCAGGGAGGGCTTCCAAGGCATGCAATTGTTCACTGGTTCACAGTCGCTGGCGATTTGCGATTACTGAAGCGTGCGTGTGAACGTAGAGGGCCTGATTTGTTGCAGCTGTCTTTCTGATCGATCATGTCCAAGGGCACATCTACCAAGAACCTCGGCTGCACAGACAGCCAGCGCCCATCGAACAACGACTTTTCGGTTTACTGAAAGCTGTCCATGTTATCATGTCTTCGTCTTCAGGTCATTCTCCTGGCATGCGTTCAGGTTAATGCCCCATATCAGAATCAAGGACTCCAACCTGGGCATCTACCCTGATTTCAAGCATCTGGCAGACGATCCGTGGTTCTTGTGCAGCCATGATGAAATTCAAGACCTGATGTCCCGAGGCTGAACACTGCGGTTCAGTTTGACGTGGTACTATCCAACCTGACGAACCATGTGTCAACATTGGCCATTACGCTAGCCAAAGCATGACCAAAGCATGACCAAGCATGACTACAGCATGACCAAAGCATGACCAAAGCATGATCAAAGCATGATCAAAGCATGACAGCATCAGAGACAACCCCCAAGGATGCCCAACCACCCGAATCTACCTTTCTGCTCCACATTGCCCCGGAATCTCAGGCTTGAGATGAACAACGCGCGGGATGAAGCATCATTCAACAGGGAGACACTTGGCCTCAGGCGATGCAGCGGGTGAGGAAGGAACATCGCCGAAAGTTTCGAGGTTTTTGCAGCGCGAGATTGCCCCATAGCCATAGCCATAGCATCTCAACACCTCATTGAATCTGAGACTAGCCGAGCAAAGCAGTGAGATTTTTGTTCAGTTTTCAATCCCAGGAAGGCGGAGGAGAAGGTCTCCGAGCTGGAGCAACTGAACAAACGCCTTGAGCAGGATGCAGGGGCTCTGGTGAAAATAAACGCAGCCGTTCAAGGAACGCTTGCGAGGTTGAACCACAGGAAGCCTGAGTTGACAAAACTACCTGCATCCGGAAGCCTCGTGAAGCCAAACGCATTGAGGCGCCAACTTTCCTGACCTCGCCGTTCGCAGGATCTGCAGTCCACAAAGCAGGCGGCCTCCAAGCTCCAGCAGGAGTGTCCGGAAGTTTTGCAGATGTTTGGAGGAATCAGCGGGCTTGATTGGACTTGGTTTTTCGATTATGTTCGCTATGCGGGATTTTGCTCCTTGCTTGCTTGGCTTGGTGGAAATGTTTGTTGCAGGAGATACGTGTATGTAAAAAGCCGTCAAAGACATCTTCATGTTCACTGCGAATGACAGTTGCGACTGTGCGGCTTCGGAGAACCTAGCATGCCCTTGCCTTTCCCGAAGTGCAGGCCCCACCATGCCCCACCTCCCTCCTTGAATTATTCTTCGCTCCTCGGTCAACAGGAGGTTTCTGTTCTCCAGGAGAAGTTGTGGCTCGGCAGCCCTGATCAGAGTTGATGAAGTAGGATTGTGCGGGTCATGTCCTGCGGGTCTGATAGGTTCTGCCTTCATGGTGATTCTGAGCTTTGACACTTCGCTCGTGTTTTCTCCAGCTGCAGTTGCAGCATAGATAAGTTAAGATAAGAGGTAGACTGGTAGACCGTCTGCACTTCGCTTTTGTTGGGCCAGGGTTGGCGACGACTCGGATTTTCTTTTATTTCCGGATCGAATCCGCTTCAAAGCAGGAATGTTGAAATCTTGGCTGACCGCTCGTAGATGCAGTTTCGCTAGTTTGTTATCTAAGCCGTTCTAAGTTGCCCGCTCTGACCTCTTCGGTTTCTGGGATTTGCCTTCATGTCTGCAGGCAAAGCGAAAGCAGTGCCAAAGATGCAGCTGCGTTGTGTGCCGAGCTTCTTGGCTACATTAGCGGCTGCATGGAGGCCCAAGGCCGGTTTTCAGAGGCCAATGAATGCCGCGTAATGCCGCCCAGTGTCTCCAAGCTGGCAATAAGTATTGAGGCATCTTGCAAAACCACATTGTTGGGAATCCGATTGAAGCTCTTGCCCGGGGCCAGTCTTGGCCACTAGGGAACCCGGCCAGAGGCATGCAGAGAAGAAAGTGGCGGCGATGGAGCAGGACTTGATTCACGTTGCCTAGGCCAAAAACTTGCAAACATGAAGCGCGTAGTCGAGATGCTACTCAACTTCTCGACCCAACATAAAGTAGGCTGATGAAGCCCCCGCCCAGCCTTGAAGGAGCTACTCGTTGCCCGAGCCGAGCTGACACAGCTGAAGGACCTACGCAGCCATTCTAGCACCTTCTAATGTTGCACCTGGTTTAGGAGGGCCCCCTGAATAAAGTCAGATTGGCGCTGGGCTATTCAGGACACACCGACTGTTCGGGGGTGCGCGGTGGGATCCTGAATTGGGTCAAGTCGTCCGGGTCCCGTAAGAAACTAGAAGCATGGGATGGCACGGGTACAACGGTGTAATCTGCGAGATTGGTCGAGCATCGTCCGGCTCGCCGCAGGAGTCCAACCAGCAAAAAGAGCGACCCGGCAAACATCGGCAGCCATCGTGGTCAGGTTGCAGGTTCCAACTGTGCGAGTGAAGCACTCCACTATGACGGCCGAGGCTACACAACTGCAACGCTACGGAGCAAGCTGTTGCCCGCGAGGAGAGACTTCAGCCGCATATTGTCGACTCTGAACAACAGCATTGAGAAGAGTTGAGGAGGGACGAGATGATTGTGGCCTCAGCATACATATTGCGATTATGAACACCATGATGATAATTAAAGAATACTTTCTGATTCGTGATTATTGTCACTGTTTTGTTCTGTCTATTCCCATGGCACTTTTTGTTACAATTACGATTCCTGTGACGAACAGTATTAATATTGTTTAAGTATATTGTTATTTCTACTAGTGTTGCAATCATGATTGCAATTTTTTGTGATATTATTACCATTATTGTTTTTACTACTGCTGTTGTGATTTCCTTTAATGTTTTTTGCTCTTATTCTTACCTTCCTGTCTCCATTACTGCTACTCTGAACATTACCCGTTATTACTGTTATCATTATGGCTACAACGGTAATTATAAGCATCTCTCTGCCATTGCTTTTATGGTCACTATTACCGTTATATTACCTACTAGTTCTAGTGGTCTTCTTATTTTGCCCAAGCCGGACACAACAAACCGAGCAAAACGAGGGACTCTCCCAAACTGGAGTTCGTCAGTTCTACAGTCGGTGTGACACCCGAATGGGACAATGTGGCAATGTAGGTAGCTCATTAGGGCATCTTACGTCTTCGGGAAGCTCTGCTTGAGTCGACATACCACAAGTTGATCGCTGATTTCCTCGACCCCTTGAGTTGGGAGCCTTTGCTGCTCTCCGAGGAAGGCACAGGCCGAGACCGTGAAGATGGAGGAGGAGAAGCGGCATTTGACAAAGGAGCGATCTTTGGTGGGTCGAAGTGAAGGCAAGACCGCACTAGAATCATGAGAATCGTTTGCACCAGCGTGCTTCGGATTCTACAGCTTCATATCAAGTCAATGGTCGGGCAGTTCCAGGTTTCTCCCAACGGCTTTGGACAGTTAGCAGGGTCCTGCCCAGTGCTATCACAAAACTTCCACACATCCCCAACCTTTGTGTCGGGTCAACAGGAGCTCCAGCGATCGCGGGAGGGCTTCGACAAGGTCCAGCAGGAGCTGCCGGTCACCTTTCCAGTAGGAAGCCTTCTCAGGCGCTCATTGCTCAGAACGTCCGGTCCCTTTTGATGCATGCTTGCTTTGCGCATGTTCAGCATATCATTCGCGGCGTATTGAGCTTCTTTGGGTGCATTCATGGGTGTTGACACCAGGAGCTTGAGCTTCACAAGAAGCAGCCGCTTGCCCGAAACATTGGCTGCTGCTTGGTCTTGCACATTCTTGCACAATTCTTGAAACTTTGTCGCCTAAGCTCAACACAGCACATCACACTCCCACGCGACGCGAGGATGCCGGTTATGTGCCATCCCGCACAATGTCACGAGTGATGTTTCAAGGTCGCCAACCTTCGCTTCCCAAGTTGAGAAAATGGGGAACCCCGGTGAGAAACACAAAGGGTCGATGATGCAACCCCTTGCGACCATCGCCATGCAGAGTCCAGACAGTGAGGCGCCGAGAAGCCAAAACCAAACAGGCCAGGCGTAAATAACACAAGGGCGCGGTGGGTCCCGTTTCCATGTGGGCTCACGTCCCCCAGTCTGTCGATCTCGGAGTTAAGATACCGGTAGCCATCGGTAAGCCGTTTGAGCCGTCTTCATGCACCGTCGAGCAAGTAAGTAGGTGTTGCGTATATGCTCCTTTCTCCCTCACGGTGGCAAGGAGCTCTGCTGAGACGCAGCGGCTGGGCAAAGAGCTCATGGAACGAGTGGAGGAGACCGGGAGATGAGTCACGCGTGCAGCATCTAAACCGCCATTGTCACAACTGTCAGGAGAACCAGCGACTGCAGGCAGAACTTCAGGAGTCGAGGCGGTCTGTGTCGAAACTCCAAAGTCTAGAAGGATGATGGGTTCAGTCACCAACCCCATATCACACATAACCCCAAGCTGAACTCAACATGACTGATTAGCCGGCTTTGTTTCCAAGAGGTGCAGCATCTGCAGGTCTGCACAGAGTGGACTCCACGAACTCCGTGAAAATCAAGAGCAGCTACAGCAACAGCTGGACACTGCCCAACAAGGCCACCAAGACGGACTATGCTCTGGTACAAAGTTTGCTTGTCGAGGGGCCTGCTGCGGATTTGTAAGTAGAGAAAGAGCACACAGCCTGGTGCACGGTGGCTCCGCTCATGCTGCAGGGCCGTTTGTTTTTCTCCTGCGTCTAGGCAAGCCACCTTCCTGAGTCAGGTACATTGCGATGCCATGTTCAAGTGAACTAGTGGGAAGGGAAAATTGTAAGAGCGGCCAAGAGGAAGCGCAAAGCACCTCCACACGATCGGGCAGCTACGTGCGGAGCGCGACCAGCCCTTCCGTGGCAAATGGACATGCTGTGAGTTTTAGGTGTTTTTCTGTGATAGAGCATATGAAGAAGAAGAACAATGATAGAAAGTTGGCAGTGGACAAGGCGGTTATGGTGAAAGCTCCATTCAATCGGCGTGTTTTTGCGAAGGCTTCAAAAGCACCTGGACGACGCAAAGGCTGGAAGGACCTCGGAGCAGGGAACTTGGTCCTGGCAAAGTTTCTCACAAAGCCTCTCTTCGGTCATGCCCCTTGTCGGCAATCGGCGCTCGCTTCAAGAAGTTTTGTCTTCTGCTTTCCGACATTTCCAAAAAGGCTGTGACTCCCAGCAGCACCTTGCCCAAGGTGCGTCAACCCACGATGATGCAGTGCCATTAAGGCTCACATTTCACTCCTGATGGGATGCTGCGGTCTCTGTGACAGCAGCTGCGAAACAATGCATTGTCTTTGCTGCAGCTGTAGGCTGCAGGTGTCGGCATCCTGCTTCACTCCTCCAGAATGATGTCTCTTAACTATTGGTGACCTTCTAGCTGGTGGGTAACTGCAATCGTGCGCACGAGCACCTGCAGGTACATCACCGTTTGCCCGGGACGCGCAGTCTCGGTTCAACGTTAATGTGAAGCTCCAGTGGAACAGATCCCTGGTGAGGGCGGTGCTTACCGTTGTTGACGGAGCGGCATGCAGCTGGCATCACTGCACCGACTTCTGTATGCTCTGCTATGCTTGAACAAGGTAACAAGTACTCAGATTTATGTTTGTGTGGCTCAGGGCTTCTAGAAGTATAGGAGAACATCAGCCTCGGGCGTGACAAGCACCAGTGAGACCAGTGTCTTCACCACTACCTCCATTGGGAAATTAGCGGTTTAGCGGTGAGGGCTTAACAGGCCTTCCCAGATGTTGTGAGGCATTGGAGAGATGAACCATGAACTTGTGTCCTACTCTTAGCCATATCCATGCGGCGGTGCGTAACACGACGCAACACGGCACAGAATAGCATCCCCAACCTTGTCCACTGCCAATGGGGGGGGGGGGGCATGGGGCTCGCCGAGGAAGTTGTCGTTTCTGGCTTCGAAGCTTTTCATTAGGAGCTTCAGTGAACTTTTGGAGCGAATTCGACTATTAGTAAGAGGGATTTTTGATTTAAACCGATGTTTTCTTGTCATTGGTTTCGGTCAACTTCTTGTGAAGGAAGGACGCAAGGAAGGAAGGAAAGAAGGGAAGGACGAACATCATGACGTCATGAAGAAATGCTTCCGAATGCATGGTTGTACAGCATAGCTATAGCATACTTTCATTATAGTTCTCGGATCACTAGAACATACAATCATGTGTTTGTACATAATTTGTGTGCATATATAAAGGTGGCAATGCATATTCGATGTTTCTGTTTTCACATATTGTATGTTCTTTGGGTAGTATATGTAACATGGGCAGTATCTATGTGTATAGTACAATGTGCATTATCATGTTTGTTCATTGATAATATGCTGGCATGTGTTTTTGTTTTGTGTTCGGTGCACACAATCTTTACTGTACATAAAGTCAAACATTTACAGCATGTTTTACAAGTACATGTTTGTAATCTACTACATGTGCAACACAGTACACACTTATGGGTGTGTTTGCCAGTGGGTATGTGTACACACCTCACAGTACACATTCTCTCTTAACCTTTCTAGCCCCTTTTTCGCAGACTTCCAACACCCTCATACACCCTGTGCTCGCACCCTCCTCCTCCGATGGGAGGGAAACACAGCCTTGTGCTACCCTGCGATAGGCATGGTGAACTGTGAACCTTCACTCTGTTCTTGTCTCCATTGCCAAGCACCGCGTGCCATGTGAGCGGCTCTCAGTGGATGCGTCTCAGGCTGAGTGAATGTCCCTGAGCATAGGGTATCCAAAGGGGTCCCAAGAGGAGTGAGACACATCTGAGCCCGTATCGATTTGAAAAGTGTTCTGCAGCACGGTGACGACTGAGTAGAAAGGCTTCCAGCAGTGAGGAAAAGCTATGCAAGCAAATTTCTTTCTCTCACGTCACCTTGCTCTGTCCAATCTTGAAGGGTTGTGCCAGCTCCTGGTGAGGGTTTAGGACCTCCACCGAACAGGCACCAAAGCGCTGAACACGGCTGCAGATCTTCGTTGAATGCCAGATTTTTGTAGGGTGCTCAGGTTTTTATAGGGGTTGGGAGGCATGTCCACAGAATTTGGGGTTAGGGTGCATGGCCCGAGGGACAGATCTTCGGCGCCACGGTCAGTCACATCCATATCCGGCAAGAAGTCTGGTCACCTTATCCGGTGCATGGAATCAGGAGCACCCTGACAAATGGATCCACAACGGAGTGCCCTGATACTGTAGAAGTGCATGCAGCCATGAGAAAAATAGTCGTGATGCTCACTGATTGTGTCCTGGTTGCATGGGCACATCTGTGAGAACACCATAGGTCGCAGTATGGTTGAAACCACATTCCTTACCAGGACCATCTAACCAACTATACTTCAACTGTACCTGTTTTGACTAGTAGGTTGCACTGCAAGACTGCAAGGCAGCTTTTGCAGAAGCACCTATCCTGCAGCTTTTGACGAGGGTTTTTTCAATGACTCTCTGCCAATACGCTTCAGTGTTCATGCAGCATACTGGGCATTCTCCCATTCTGCACGGTACAGCACCTCCGTACAGGCTGGCAGGAGCTCGTGTTGCTACCTCTCCTTATCCAACTTGCCAGGTCAACTGCCGATGCACCCAGGAGGCTGATCAAGTGGAGTTGTTGGTGTAGTGAGGCTAGGGTCGACTAAGTCGCACCAAAGTTGTATCTGACGCCACAGAATGTCATTGATGTGGTCCATAGGTCCATGAGGCATTGTCTTGGCGGCACTCTTCATGCAGGATGAAGGCCTCCAATGCCCCAACCAGGGCGCCTGCAAATCGCCCGGAACTGAGAATGTGAAGGAGGTCACATTATGACCTCCCCCCCCTGCTTCCGCGTGCCATTTGGCCGGATGATAACCATACTACTCGTAGGAACTGCAACTGAAGAACTGCCATGTGAGAGTGAGGTACCTGTCCTGGCTGGCAGCACGCTGTGGAGTGCAGGCCTCGAGCCTGCAGTGGCTTTGGCTGCCAGAAGGCCGGGCAAGGACTGAAAGACTGACGAAATCCGATGCCTTACCGGAACCCCGCTTCTCTCTCTCGGGGCGCGCGCGCGCACGCAGGCGGGTGTGTGTGTGTGTTATTTCATCCACCCGTGGCTGTTTTGGGTTCAGTTTTCGAAGTCAGAGGCCTTCTCTCAGCGGGGCCTTCATGAGATAAGCACCCCTGCTTTAAGACAATTTCTCTAAGAGAAATCGCCTGCAGAGCATCCCGCAGAGCACCCTAAACCCTACTTAGTCATTAAAGATTCAGGGATTCCGTATGACTGTAGAGTGCAAAAGTGATGTCTAGAGGCAAAAAGAAGCAGCTTGAGCAGATCAGTCTTTGAGGTTGAGCCTAAATAAGCAACCCGAAAACACTGTGAATGAACAGCTTGCAGCTTGAATGAACCGTGACCTGATACTGACCGGAAGCCCAGGAAGCCCAGGAAGCCCAAGAAGCCCCCTCAGCCCTGTGAGCCTGGGCAGCGTTTCTTCGGGCATGGGCCTTCAAGAGCACGCAGAATCACGCATCATAAAGGAAGATGAGAGTACCCCCAAACCCGGAGACAAGCCAGCGCCAGACCTCAACTCTGCGCAGCCGCACAAGGCTAAGCACAAGGCCAAGCCCTAACCCCTCCTAAAATCTGAAGAAAGCCTACCTTCACGAAACCAAGCAAGATGGAACTGGCAAAGCTCCGAGCCATGGAACATGGCCTGGTGGGACCGGTACTTTGTCTCCCGGCACAGACTTGCAGCTTCCAATGCTAGAGAGGAGCGCCTAGTTTATCAAAAAATCATGTCGGAGAGTCGCACAGACTGTTCAAAGCGAGTCGCTGCCGCACTTTCAGATGCGTGTGACCACATTAGCATCTCTGACCTTTTTACACCTGCCATCAGAGTCCTCCTGACATGCTCCTGAATCCCCGACTCGCAAGTTGCAGTTTCAAAGCATCGTTCACCGAGGTTCTGGAGCACACCTATAGCTACGCATCCCTTTCACTTGGTTTGCGCTCATCTGGGTTGTGCAATGCTGCTTGTCTTCGGGACAATTCAGTTTCATGTTAAGCTGTACAGAAGGACAGCAGGGCAGCCCACGGCCACCTTAACTTGAAAGATCAGCACACTGAACCATCTCGCTTTCTCAACCAGCACCTACGATCCCAGAGCCCGCTATCCTGGAATCCCATTAGAAAGACGCCACCAAATGTTCCTCCAAGCTGAGGGGGAAGTGCCCTCGCTGCTCGCGGCCCTGCGCGCATTCTTGTGCCGTCTGGACAACGAGCTGGACCTGCAAGTCGAGCCGCCTGGACAGAGCACGGCAGTACTGGGTGATAATGGGTTATACAAAGTTTAGAAGTAGGATGCCCTTCAGGACTTATGGACCGTGGGCCTTGCAAGGGGCTCTCCAAGGCCTGAGATGTTCAATTTCGGATTGAAGAATGCTGAAAGGAATAAGCTTTCCTGAGCTTGGACTAGGTTTTCCCACCTGGAAAGTGTAAGACTCGGCTTAACAACTGGGCGTCAACGGTGAAGAAATGACTCCAAAGTACATGCCCGAAGCCAAACTTGCCTAATGTGGACTGCGATGTCAACACTCGACTCGAGCACGGCTCTTTCATTCAAAAGCTTTTCACTTGATTCCATGGCCGAAGCACACTTCCGGTTGAAATTTACCGTTCAAGCGCTGAAGAAGGACTTTTTTCGAAGGGCAGATGATGGCTCGCTTGGTTGTGCGAGCAATTAAGAGTTCCTTTAATTTCTTAAAGCAGTCAAAAGGATTGCCTAGTGATGTAGTCTCTTGGGCGTTTTTTGGCGAGCACAGGCTGTCTTCCTACGTGTGGCAGGATGTCCTTCTGCATAAAGGCAGCTGGCGAAACAGGCGCATGAATACTGCCCGTTTCGCTGTCGTTTCCTTTAAAAGGTTGGATGCAGCGGAATGCGCCCTCAGTGATGAGGCGGCGGCATGGATCCTCGTTCCTCGACAGCTTGTGTTGAACGGCTATGGAGGTTCTGTTTCGGGCTTCCTTCTTGAGGCTTTGGCTTTGTGCAGGATTGCGCTCATTTGGATCGGACAGGCGAGGTGTGTGAGCACCGTGAGCACGCAAACCGCGATTTTCCATCTAGGTTGTGGCTCCCTATCTTTGGGCTGTTTCCCACGTTCCTCAACTCTGAATCCCAGTCCAAGCTGCATATCCTCGAAGTCGCAAGCACGTGAGGTGGGTCCTCACGATACCGTGCAGTTTTTGGGTCCCTTTTATGGTGGGCTTCCAAGGGGTAGCAGGAGTGAGATTGAGGGAAGACCCCGCCGAACGCTGCTCTCCCTTCAGCTCCTTTTTCGGGGACCTGATCAGGATACATTGCGCAGACAGCTTTCCACTCGCAAGGGGCGCTTCCCGGATGCAATCGGTGCTTTCAGAACCTCGCGAGGGGAAAGCTGGGTGTGGGTTGTGCTGGGAGGACCAGCTGCCACATCGTGCCTTTTAGATGGACGTGAGCCTTACGGAGTCATACGTTGTCGTTTCAAGCTCGCTCCTTGGAGATTTGCGGCTGTTTGTAACATTTTTTTGGCGGGTCACACATGACTGTCCTCCCTCAAGAGGGCACGATCTAGCCCCCCACATGGCCCCATATGGCCCTTTGCCATTTCTTATGAGGTTATCTCAGGTTCACCCTGACACGTCACAATCTTCGAGTTGCTCTCGCAGCATCCAAAACTTTCTAAAACGCGTGCAGACGGTTTTTGTTTGGGACACAAGCCCGACTAGCCCCTTCGCTGAGTTCCTCTTTCGGCACCGATACCTTAACCTTCATTCAGCTTTACAATATATAAACCCCACAAGCGAGCGAACACAAAAAGCGAATTGCAGCTTTCGTGGCCTCGATCCCTAGTTGATGGTTTGCTGCGCCTAGCAATGTCGCACTGTGTTGTAGGCCTGGGGCATTTTGCCATCCCATTTCGGGTGCTGTTGCAGGGCATCATCCAATCTGGTACGTAGTCTAGCTGCTAGACCACCTGCTTGAAAGCCGTACAAGTAACACAAAAGCTTCGCCGGCTACCTGTCATGATCTGCGAGACGGACACCAGCCCACTTCCTCAAAAGCTTTGCGCCTACATGATGCAATTCATTCCTGAAGCTTCAATGCCATCAATGCTGCAAGGCTCCTGTTTGCGGGTTGTCAAGCTGTTCAAGAACAACGTCGCACCCTCAGCGGCGACATGTCGACAGACTCCTGTTGCTCCAAACATCTCCAAACCTCATTGCTACAAGCGGGTAGGTTAAGTCGTATCTTCTTGTGTAAAGTCGTATCTCGGGCGCGTGCACACTGGGGATTCGCGAATTCCAAGATTGGTCAGAACCCACTTGCACCCCCAAGCAGAAATCTCATTCACGCTGACAAAAATGTGCTCCCCTCCCAAGCGTGCGGTGACAAATGCGTATTTTGCATATGTGTCGAGAACACGCGCGTGCGGCGCGTGCACATAGGGGGAAAGGCTTCAACGTACGTCTCTGTGATGCGACTTTACGCGGGATGATGTGACTTCGCTCGCAGCCGCGTGTCACTGGGCAGATGTGACTTCACACGCAAAGATGTGACTTAACCTACCCGCTTGTACTACCAGTAGCAGGGTACAAGCTAAACGTACAAGTCCGTATAGACTACACTGTAGCTCTTCAGCAGCACAAGCCTGGCCACGAGTTGAGCATGAGGCTGGTGCAACAACACATCGCCCAACGCCTCAAGAGTAGGGGGCGTGCGCACGGCGGGGGACAATCAAGGCCCATAGGAGCCGGCCGAGGCGAATATCGGCAAGGTGTCCAAGGGGTCCTGGTGTGTGCTGGGGGCTCTTGGGAGATGTCGGGCCCTTCCACTCCAACCGCACCTTGGAACTGTTACCCGTCGTGTTCTGTGGGTCTAACTGCGCCAACGCAATCCAATCTATGTTGAAGCATGTTGAAGGCATGGCAGGCTGTTCAGACCGCTCCGTGCCTTGCTGCACCCAAGCTCGAACACCCGGAAGCCCCTTCTTTTGCAAATGCCTAGCTTGGCGACACTTCTGCCGCTGCGCTCGCTGCCTGGCTCTGGCAGCAGCCTGGAGCTTGCGAGGATCCATTGCATCATGCATTGTGAGCATTGAGGGGCATTGAGGGTCATTGAGGGTATTCTGAGGGTATTCTGGGGGTATTCTGAGCACATGCCGTCTGAGCCCATGCGAGCCCATCTGAAAGGAGATACACTTGTCTCACAACCAGATTGGACACCGTGGCGTGGCGAAGCTGCTGATTGCTCTCGCCCGCCATCCCCACGAGGCGTATCCGAGGTCAGTGGAGCACTTGGACGAGGCAACACCGCTGCTTTTGGAGCTTCACTGGCAAAGTTAAGGTGGCTCAATGATCGTGAGTGCGTGATTCCTGATTTTCCTGGCAGCCCAGAACACTCTTGGAGGCGATTCCATGCTGGTTGCGGCTGGAGCACAACAAGGCAGCGAGCCTCACTGCAAAGGCTGTTAGAGGTTCGATCCGAGAGTCGCACTCTGGAAAGGCAGCTGGCATTGAACATCTGCTGAACGTCCTGCACAAGGACGGACATTTTGGACTGAGTTTGTGCCTTGCCTCGCGCCGATTCCCCTGGCTACAACACGCCTCAACCCACATTGCCGATTTAGTCACAGCAGTTGCCTCTTGGCATCCTCTTCCTTTGTGAGGATCCCGTGCGCCTGCGGTCCTGCTTCGCCCCCCGCGGCGAGGAGATCACATTGGCTTCAGAGTGTGCCTGGGTATAACGTTGCTGCTGCCATTGCCTCAACTGCTGATTTCACATTCGATTGTTCCCCCCTTTTAAACTCAACTCTTCTCCTCGCCCGGTCTACTCCTCGCTCATCCCGGGAGTACCCAACCCCAGAGTGTCCCTGGAGTGCCCAGCCCCACAGTGTGCCTGGAGTGCCCAGCCCCAGAGTATTTCTACCCTGAGAGGGTGGGGATGTTCGAAGTAAAATAATTTGTTGCACCTACTCGTAGTTGCATTATTTATCTAATTTCCCGCAGCAGCCTCCTCAGAAATACTTAATTTTCAAGCTGCGCGACCCGCCTCGGCCGGGCCCAAACGCCCCCTGGTCCTGATGCACCATGTCGGCGAGGGGGGGGGGGGGGGGGGGTTGCTGGGGGGGGGTACTCATTGCCAGCCAAACGTACCAAGTAAACATCGCAAGGGTACCTGCTCTAGGCTCCATCGGCCAGAGGCCTCGGCGGATTTCACATATCGCAGGCGAAGGCATTGGCATATTGGGCTCCAGCTTGAACTGGTTATGGGCAATTCTTAATGACATGGGTATGACAAGATGGATATTCCATGAAGTGCACATGTGCAACGATGCAGTAGTATTAGGTCCACAGGCCATATCGCACTCCTTGGAGGATCTCGGTGGCCTACCGGGATGTACTGTCTTCCGCTGCTGTCATGGCTCTTCCAAGGCAGAATTGGCCACTGAAGCGGTTGCATCTTCTTGCTGCTTTCTGGACTTCAAAGTATGTTCTCCAGAAGTGTCACAGGGTAACCGCTGTTGGTTCTGCGGGCCGTGTTCTTCCTTGTTGATTGGTGCTAGGTACTTCTGCAAACTCCTGGCGATAGACAACAGAAGATGTTTGGTGTAAGAAGTTGGCAGAGGGCTGTTGAGACGGTCAGTAGAGCCGAGCTTTGACATACGCCTCGCATGGACAGGGTTTCTACGTGTTTCTACCATCTCTGCGGCTTCTGAGATTAGGGCGCCCAAGACGTCACCCCCTCCCTTCTGAAAGCAGTTCCCGCACTCCCTGAAGACAGCGGTGACTACGGTAGAAGGTGGCCCGTACAACCGTGGGTTTGGAGGGCGGTTGGCCATGAAGATTGTTTATCTTCATGAGATGTTAGTTCTTGAGCTTCCACCTTGACTTGATTGGTCCAGAGACGTGCAGGAATGGCAAAGAAGTCCAAACCTCATGTCTGTAACTAGCCTAAAGTCCTGGAGGGCCTCCTGTTCTTAGCCTCGGCACGAGGCCGAAACTCCGCACGTCCATCTCTACTGCATCGGCAAGCAGAAGGCATCTTCCATGCTGTGGGATGCGGAGTTTTTATTGTGGGAGCATCTTAGTCGGGTCTTGTTATCTTGTCGGTTTGTGATTCGCGCAGCAGCTAACTGCGTTTCTCACAAGTTGCTGTGCCTATCTGTGCCTACTCCTGTGATCATGTTACAGTATGTTACGTTCTGTTCTGAAATGTTTGGTTGTGTAGGTACGCAGTGTGTGAGATCACCGAGTCAGAATGCTTCCATGATTCAGTACACTATTCAGTACTACTATCTGGCACTTCATCGGGCTCGCTTGCTTAGCAGAGGATGTCGCAGACCTGGTGGAGCCGCAGCTCGAATCGATGGCGCTAGCACTTTGCGATGAGGCCCACTGTATTCCAGCTGATTTCGCTGCAATTTCGCTGTATTTCGCTGTATCCCCATCAAAAAGAAGCCCATGAGAGCCCCAAGGCCGAGACACATCAGGCACAGATGTCTCTTAGAGGTCTCTTGCAGTTCCATGCCAGTGCGACCTGCCAAGCCAGGGTGGATTCCGATGTGCAGTGAGTGCTGCGCATGCAGCTTCGTACATCTTTGTACATCGGCTCAGAAGTGAGACTCACTGCCCCAGGTTGTAGCAGGCGACTTCTGTCCCATGCCGGAATTCACGGTACCGACTCTTGGCACGTCAAGTCAGTGATTGCATCAGTTGGCGTCATGATTTGTGGAATTTCCGTGCAGGTTCTGAGTGACTATGTTTCTTGTGAGTTCACTTGCTATTCACGGCAACACTGTGAACAATCGTGCCGCAACGTGTCCTTCACTTCCAGGCCCTTTGCATCCCCATCAACTCCCACAGCCGCCGTGGCAACACGCACCGCGGTGCTTCGTGTTGATGCGGAGCCTGGATTGAATTCCCCTTACTCCCCCTTGCTCCCAATAAGCACTGGGGGCTCGATGTCATCATTGTCCTGGAATACTGTTGTATCGGAGCTGCTTTCCGCAAGAAGTGCTCAGGACAAAGGAGCCGGACTGGAGATGACAGTCGCGAACCGAGTGACTCTATGCGACAACCCTCTTTGAACAGCCAAACAGCACAGCATGGGGTTGGAAGTTATCCCGACATTTGAGGCCCATCCATATGGCTACCTCGTCGATGCTGTTGAGGCCATGGCCATCTGTTGATGTGAGGGTCTCGCTCGGACTACGCGCTGCAATTTTGCAGCGGCGTGGGACCCATGATGGATGCACGTCGTAGTCGGTTAGTGAGGGCAAATATCAGAGATGGCACCTGGGCAGTCTGCGAGGATAGGAAGCGTGCGAGGTTCAGTCAGACCTTGATTTTCTCATGTTTCGGCATATGGACAGGGCAACTTCGGCCAGGCATAACATATGTCTAGAGCATCTTCACACAAGGTGAGTTCATTGCACTCCGCCACCAGTGCCACACTCACCCATCCTTCGACCTGGACTCTGAGTCGCTCTGAAACCAATTCTCACAGCTCCTGGGCGACTTCTGCGCTTTAACAACTGTGAGCGCCCATATTCCAAGAACAAGTCTGGGTTTCGATTTCAAGTTGCAATTAACATCGATTTCAAGCCTAGCTTCCATAAATTCCCGGACTCAGATCTTGTTTGATCGTCCGGTTCGGCCCTCCAAACCACGAACTGAGAGCGAGTGCCGGTAGAGTTGATTGTAGTTATCCCGCGTCGTCCATACTGGAGACCCTTGCCAGTCCGATCCGGGTCAAGACTTGGCTTCTGGAGATGTTCTGTCCGGATCCCAGGAGTCCACTCTGATTTTGTTCGAAGATGTTTCGAAGCAGACTGCCGTTGGAGGCCACACGGCACAACATCTGTCTTAAACCTCGCCTAAGTTCCTTCGAGGATCGCCGTGGACGGTGAGCCCCTCTGGGGAGACCTCTCCGAGGACCAGCTCAATGAGGCGAACTTCGGCGTCAGGGCTAGCGTGTCTCATTATAATTTGAATATAATCATGCTGTATTCGTTTTGTGTAATTGTGTATGCGCGGCCACACATCTCGGACCTTCCGATATCGCGGACAACGTTTAGCATCCTTAGGATGATGCTTGACATATTGTACATTTACTGGTCCTTACTACATAGCCTTAAGACTTAAGATGCTCGACACGAAAATTCGACAACTTCGAGTTGCTCGCGGCATCGGTTGTGCTTCAACTAACCGAGACGCGGAAGGCTTTCGGCCGTGAGTTTGCCGACGGCGCCTCTGTGGAAGTCGTGCCTGCTGCCGCCGCAGCCCGGCGCAAAACGAGCGTGTGTCTTAGGTAGTTTGCACAATGTTTGCACGGGCTTCAACAGCCTTCTGCAAGGGGCGGTTACAATGGGGAAGTCGCTGTGTTTCCCAGCCCACTTTAGTGGCTCCTCTTATAAAGACAGGTTGTCTTCAACCGGGTACCCTGTACCATGAGCAGCGGCTCCAAGGGCAGGGCGGTGGTTGTTGTGACGTCTCTTCGTTGTTTTTCGTGGGGACGGGCAGCTTCTGAAACACACTGTTTAGGGTTGAATGGGGATGTGTTTAATTGACAGCATAACTGGCAGCTCAATGGAGCTTAAAGCTTGCCCAACCGTTTTGTTATGACTTCGGTGTTCCCTGTCGGCTGCACCTCAATTTCGTTGGGGATTCTTAAACAAGGGCCGGCGAGCCCTTCGAGCCCTTTGGTCCACCTAAGCTCTGTGAGCTCTGAGGTCGAGGGCTCGTGGCTCTGGCAGCCCCTCTGCGCGTTCCCTCGAGGCCCAATTGGCCGTTGGGAATCCGGGCCACGTTCGGATCAAGCCTTTTTTGATGTGTCATCATATCGGCAGTTGTTACGTCCTTGACGAAAGCTTCGGTAAACTACGTGATGGGATTTGATGCAAAGTTCAGGCCATTGGCAGGTTTCCAACGCTTGCGAACATGACACAGAACAAGTGGGAATCTTAGGGTCTTAGGAGCTGTGCAAGAAGTTCAGTGAAATCTTCAGGTGAGTCTCGCCAACAAGCCCTTCGCGAGGATCTAGGCAGCGTGGTGGTAGCACTCTATCAATTACTCCAGCGGCTGGCCTGCTTGCCGGGCTGCATGGGCATTGGGAGTAGATTTGGATCGGTTTCTCTAACCATAAGAATGCTTTTGGGCTCCTTTGTCAGAATGAGCCCCAACCTCCAGGCATATTCGCGCGCACCTGCGGTGTGGCAGCAGACTTGGATGATGAGGCCTCGATTACGTGCCACGATCACTACCCCAGCGGCACGACTTCTTACGTGTCAACTCACTGACATCCGTCATCCCTTGTCTCTAAGACGATATCTACTCCGGGCCCCCGCATTGCTCGTGTGCCCTCCGTCCCAAGTAACTATGCAGGTGTCCAGGGTTATGGTTAATGCTGCCCGCCGCCCTGGGCCGCTTCAGAGAACGCAACCCCCAACCCGACCCAAAGCCGCATTCCCAAGTGGTCTTGTCCTGCCTCTGCGGGTTCATGGCTGACTCACGTGGCTGGGAGAGCAATGCCCCGATGCTATGCATAGCTTGCAGATATCAGAGAGAGCCCTCAGTCCTCGGCCAGGATCCGCGGTGAAAGTAGGTTCATCAGCTTCATCAGATAATCTGACAAGAGTTCCGGGAGAAGCCGTTCGCCTGCATCGTGACATATCGTGATGTTTTTCCAGGGCGCTGTGTGGCTGCATGGGCCTCCGGGGGCCCTACGCCATGCCCGGGCAGAGCTGGAGGGGTTGGCAAGGCAGGGCAGTTTTTCTCGTTTTTCTCGCTTCGAGCGGTTCTGCATATTTGTGGTTCTGGGAGCAAAGGCTAGCAAAGGCTAGCAAAGTCGCTCAGGTTCTATTTCCCGGAGCTTGGAGAGAAGGCAATGTTGCCGGCCTTCCGCTGGGTGAGGCTTGGAGAGGCATTGAGCGTTGCAGTTTCTGTGTGTTTCTGATTTGACGGGGAAGGTTCATGTTGAGAGGTTCGAGAGTGCAAGTTCAGGAAATACGAGGCGCCCGCAGCGGTGCCAAGCGAGCCAAAGGAGAAGCACGACAGTTCTTCACCTGCAAAAGAACGCTCGTGAGGCGTAGCATCATTTGAGAGCAAAGTTCGAGCCGAGCATACAAAGCTCGACCACCTAGGCGAAAGCTGCGAAGATGGCACAGGTCATCCAGATATGCCGCTGAGTCTTTTGAATAGTTGGGTTTCCAGGAGTTGCAGCATCCATTATCTCAATGAGTCATTGTTAGTTGATCCGCTTGACTGCTGACTCAACTCGAAGGTCGCTTGGGCCAACATTTGCTGTGCCGAAAAGCCGCTACCCAATGCTGCATGAAGGAAAGCGCACACACACACACACACTGCGCTGTTGGAGATGTGTCCAAGCTCCACGACGTGAGCATGAAGGAAAGCGAGCGAAAAGTTGTAAAAGCGATGCAAAGCCAACGCGCAACAGCGAGAAAAACAATGGCATGCTACTGGTAGCTAGTATGAGTAGCGGGCATGAAAGCAGCGCTTCAACAAGAGACAGAGTCCTACTCTACGAAGCATCTTGCAAATCCCCCAAAGTCCGAATTCGTTGCTTGCCGCTTGGCTACGCCTTGCCGAAAAACACCCGGTTCTCAAGTGATACTCGTAACACATGATGTCAACCACAGCAGCAACGACCATGACCGTGGCAGCAGCACCACCAAGATTCTAGATAAGCCGCTGCACAAGCATGATGAAGCTGATCTGGTATTGCCGACAGTCACAATCAGAACAATGGTGCCCAAACAAGTCGCAATGATTCTCAGTCGAACCTGTGCGGCAACCCTGAAGATGACTTGCAGTCTGAAGTCTTCCCCTTCAAACTCCTGTACCCCCAAGTCTCAGGGCATCCTGGGCCGTCTCGTTGCGGCAACAATGGGAGGAGGCCGTCTCATATTATAGAGGGCCATGCTGATCAAGCTACAGCTATAGTACTTTGAAGCTCACCTTACAGAAGTACATGTGCTGCAGGGTGAGGGTGAGGATATGTGAGGATCCAACTGGACATCTTCAAAAAATTGTACAGCGTACAGCTGGAGCTCATTTGCAACCCGAGCTTCTTTGAAACTAGCAGAGGCCCTGTATGGACATTCGCAAAGGAGTTTTACAGTACCAGAGTCTGAGGACGACAATCTCTTCGACGAGGATCTGCCCATCGAGCCTCTTGAGGATTGGCAAGTTTCCGTGGCAGCTACTGGTAGCTCCTTCCTTAATCAGAGGTTCCTGAAGCAGCAAGAATCCACAGTCAAGTCGTGAACCAGAATCGAACAATTTCAGCCCCGACGCAGGCTCCGGACGAGGGCCCAGACGTCTTCGACGGCGAAGTGCTGGTGCCGGACCTGGACCTGCAGCTTCGCTGAAGGAATCGGCTCTAAGCGTTAGCCTTGGACAGCTGGTGTCCAGGGACTTGCGTGATCAGGGTGCTGGCTTTTCCGGCTTCCGGCAGTCCACAGCGAATGCTGCGAATCTGCACCCTGCGAGCTTTGGCTCGACTGAGTCTTCCACAGCCGAGGTCGCGGCCGTTCAAGCGGCTGGGATGCAACAATGGACCAGTGACCAGGGAACTGAGTGCTTAGCAGGCGCTTTTGGCATCATATATTTTTTGGAAGAAAAAGCACTCAAGACCTAAGCCCTGGGGCACTGCATGCAATGCGGAATGGGATTCCAACCCTGAAGATCCTCCAACTCAAGGATGCTGATCCTCGTGGGCCTGCCGGGCGCTGGCAAGAGCCGACTGGCAGGGCGTCTAGCTGCATTGGGCTGGGAGGTCGTCAACCAGGCGAGGCCTCGTCCCAAGAAGCTTTGGAAGGATTTTGAGGACTTGGAAGTTTGGGTGCTGTCAGTGCTGTCTGGCCGGCTTACCGAGCTGGTAGTCCTGCTTTCAGTATCAGCGGCTCCAGGATCACCTTGGCGACCGCATCTCGCTGTTGATGGAGAACTGATGGGAACTGGACAAGCTCTCGTTGCCCATGATGTGCTGAGCTGACAGTGGCAATTCATCGATCAGTGAAAACATCAGCAACTACGAATCAGCAAACAGCCGCACCATCAGAAACTACGAATCAGAGTTTCAGCACGAGTCAGAAACAACAAGCGCATCAGAAACCGTGAATCAACTGGGGCGGGGGGGCGGGGAAGGTGGACAGCCAAGCATCAGCAACCAACTCCTGTTACCCGGTTTCCGATGCAGGCCGACCAATTCCGTAAAAGCTTCTTCCCCTCAGTCGAAGTCTAAGTCTCTAAAGCGCCGGGCGCTTGCCCGGCGATGTGGGACCAGCAGGTGAAGCGTTGCATCTGCCGGGGTGTTTTCAGCAGGCAAGTTAATGTTGCGAAGAAGGGCTTGGTAATCATCCAAAAATCATGCAATGCTCAATTTCCAGCCGCCAATAGTCAGCTGCCCATACAAGTAGTGAGTACGCTACACCGAAGCGCCTTGCATCTCTGCTCCATGTCGATTCTGCAGAACAGCGGCACTCACCTCTATCTTGCCAGCCACCCAAAATCTCCTGCCGATTCAAGGCAAAGCATGTGTGGCAGCGGCAAAGGAGGCTGGTTGTGCGAATTATAAGGTTAACGATGTTAAGGCTCTACCGTTAGCATGCATCTTGCACAGTAAACTCGAAGAGAGTACTGTAGCGGACGTTCGAAATTCAACTTCAAAAACCGACGAAACATGGGACGTTGCGTCGAAGCCCTGACCACGTATGTACACTCCCTGCTTCACGGATTCTGTACTCAATGCATCAGGAACAGACACTCGCACGGTTGACGCGTAAAACGCTGTTTAAGCACCAGATCGGACAAGTAGTGTTTCAAGCAGGTTGGAACTTCTTGAAAAACTTTCGACGTGTCGAACATGCAGAGGGTTAGCTTCAGTTTCTAGCACAAATCTGAGGTCAGAGGTTTGTGTGTGTGTGTGTGCAAAAGTTGCAAGAAAGGACGGCAACCGAGGGCCGCCTTCTTGAGTCTTCTACGACTTGATGTGTGTTTACTACCAGGGCGAAACTCTTAACGCGTCCGAGAGAATGCCGGCAATGTGCATATTTTATCGAACCACGGGATTGAAAGTCGAAGGGCTTGGAACATTTGCTATTTGGTGCCCACTCTATCGAGTGACTTCTTCGACTCAAGGAGCTGCCATCCCTTACCCGCAGGCCCTGGCAAAGTCACGCCGCGTAGTCGTTGACCGCTGCAATGTAACGCGGCTCCAGCGGCGAGCACCTCGGCAGCGTCCAACAGAGGCTTTTTGCTGATTTCTGGTCAAGTAAAGTTTGCTGTTCGCAGCTGCCACCGAATCAGAAGATCATTTGCAGAGAGCTCGGATGTCGAGATTGTCGAGAGGGCCTTATGCCAAGGTGTGGCTCGAGCTGGCTGATGACTACGAAGTCTGTGCGGCAGCATTGCTGCACCCAGTAGCATTGCAGGGAGACCATTGCATACATTTGCATACCATCGCCCGGGTTCTGCTAGTCCTTGTTCAATAAGTGCCTAAGCTGGCCTGACCAGGAAGACTTCGACTTTGACTTAACTTGATACGCGCCTTGCTCACAGTGTCGCAGTGGTCTAGTGGTGGCGGTGTTTAGGGTCTAACTAACGTTTAGAGTTTTGGAGAGGGTTTGGGGTCTTTAAGCAGGCTTTGTAGGTTTGGGCTTTAGGCTTCAGGCTTTAGGCTTTAGAGGGTTTCGAGTGCAATTTCCGCTCAAGCACTGGCATCCCAGGTCTTCTCAAACCGGCTCTTGCTGGCTACGGCCGAATAATCCCGCAGTACGTTAAGGTCGCATAAACGCGACCGCGATGACAGCTTTGAATGAGTGACATGCCGGTTGTGTGATTCTCGACTGCACCAGTGCAGGCATGCATCTGGCTGGACATCCCTGAGGAGCTAAGCTATGCCGAGGGCCTGCAGCTACTGCGCTTACATGGCTTGAAGATGTTTGTCGTCTGAAGTTCTGGATGACAGCAACGACCTTTCTTTTCCGAGCTGGTGCTCCTAACAACAACATACTATCCGCAATGAACTACACAGCACAATGGACTGCCGTCCAACAGGAGTTGCATACAGGATCGTGCTACGACCCGCAAGCCAGCAAATAGTTTTCGACGTTTTCCGGTTGCCATCGCGCAGGATGTTTGTGGCGATCGGGTGCTCCAGCGGTTTGGCCATGAGACTTGGGCTGACTAAGAACAACCACATGCCCAGCAAACGGAACGCCTGGAAGACAGTTTGAGGACTCTGCTGAGCACTCCTGGATTCAGAAACGATCACCAAATATCGGAAGATTCAGTTTAGCCGCAGCGCCGCCCAAATAAAGCAGTCAAGCTTGCTGTGGTCCTCTGTATCCAAGCCCACAATGATCGAGCAAACAGGATTGGGAGCCAAAAGCGAGGACGGAAGCCGGAGAGCGCCACTTTTCGGAACCCCTTGTGCTCCGAACCTGCTCGCAGAATTGGTTTGGCACAATGCTACAAGCTCATGCCTCCTTTTCAGAAACCATTCCCCGATTTTGAAGCTAATCAGCAGCCTATCGCATGCTAATCGCTTCAGAAATCGCAGTCAAAAACGATTGGCGGTTGTTCCAATCGCGGTTCAGGCACAATAGGGGATCCGAGAAGTCTCCACTGAGTCTCCACACTTCTTCCAGCACACTGAGGAGACCTTGCCGCCTGAAGAGAAGAGTCTTGAGGCGGCCGCGATTAGCGCAGGGCAGAGGGTGCATGTGCTGAGGGTCGCCATGCAGAATATGGCGAGTTGCTGAGACTTGCACTGTAAGAGTTACGCCAGTCACGCAGTTGAAGTCGGTGAACCGTGCGCAGTGGTACTGACTCGACGAAGAGTATCGCCCTGGCAAAGTCGAACCTCCACCTCACAGAAGGAGAACAGGTCAGCTGCTGTGGTTAGGCGTGCTTGTTTTTGATCTCCGGGTGCCAGGGTGTAAACCTGTCAATGTACATGTTTTTGTGTGTGAGTTCTGATGCTCTTGATGGCAGGGCTAACGGAGGTAGCGGGGGCCATCTCTTAAAGGGGAGCCCGGGGCTCTCCTCCCTTCGGGGTGGGGGGCAACTCCCCTCTTTGGGGGTGGCCCAACGGTGGCGTCGGCCTGACAAGCCGGCGTCACCGTCTTTTTTCTTGTCCAAGACCGTGAAACAAACACTCGACTTAGCTCGAAGGAGAGAGTCACACCAGTGAAGTGTGGCCAGACACTGAGAGCTGTGACTCGTAAATCCTGGAAGCACCGATGTCTCGATCTTGTCTGGGGGGCGTTTAATGTTCGAACTATGCACTGTCAAGTCCTAGTTTCTCCGGGGGGAGAAGTTAACCTTGAGGGGAGTGACGTGGATAGGCCTGAGCTGTTTTGTGAGTTACTACGTAAGCATAACATGTCTTTGTGCTGTGTGTCAGAGCACCGCTGGAGGGGAGAGGGTACACTGCAGTGTGGTGACTATATGTATGTGTTTAGTGGCTTGCCAGCCGATGCGCCCAAAGCCATGCAAGGAGTGGCAGTAGTAATGAATGAGGCTATGCAGGTGGCGTGGAGACGTGCAGGTAGTTACTCCGTTAATTATGGTGGCCGGTTATTACATATTAAGTTGGAGCTGCAACGTCGGGTCGTCAATGTTATTTCGGTCTACGCCCCGACATTTAATACGGAAGCCTCCGAAAAGGATGCATTTTATGACGCTTTGCGAGGTATGTTGGGAAAGGTCCGTAGTGGCGAAGAGGTGGTTGTGATGGGCGACTTCAACGCGCGTGTAGGGTTTTGTGCACATTCCGCTATGCAAGGGACACACGCAATCGGTGCCAGTGATGCTGTTGGGCCTTTTGGGATGGGGCACCTTAATGAAAATGGGGAGCGTCTTTTAGGTTTATGCGAGGGGTCCCCTGTTGGGCTCCTTAAGGTTGCAGGTACCTTTTTCCAGCATGCGCATTACGGTTCGTGGATGCATGCTCGTACCAAACAGTGGCATCATATCGACCATGTGCTGGCCCCAGCGCGAACCATGCGCCTTATCCTTGATGTCAAAACTATGCCTGGGGTAGGGTTTGACACCGATCATCGCCTAATACGGGTTCGGTTTCGGGTTCCGCCCCGATCCTGGAACGGCTGTGGTCACTCGCCAAGCAAACGGACCAATCACGGGCGTATCCCTAAGCTGCAAATTTCTAAATTGGGCGGGACGGAACTGGCAGCCTTTAACAATAAAATGCAATCCGCCGCGGCGGATGGCTTGCTGGATGATTATGAACTCTGGTCACACGGAATGCGCATCTTTGCTGAAGAGCAGGTTGGTGTAAAGCCCTTGATCACTCGCCCGCAGTGGCAGGTTGATAACTCTAGCCGCTTGGAAGAATTGAGTCGCAAGCGCTTGCGGGCGTATGAAGCGTTTGCTAATGGAGGGCCTCGGGATGTGTACAAGTCTGTGTGTAAGGAGGCGCGTAGGGAAATCAGATCCATCATGAATGCGTGGTGGAGAGATAAAGCGTCACTGATACAGGAGAAAGTCGACAATAAAGAACCACATGCGGTCTATGCGGGGCAACGAGAATTAAAAGAGGTTTTGTTCAATCGTCGTCGACGGCCAAACAAGCTGCGCGATGCCAAGGGACATTTGTTGGTCACCAAGGCCGATAGGATGCAGAGATGGTATGAGTATTTCAAAGATCTGCTCAATGTACATGGTATTTGCAAAGAGTCCAACTTTGACTTCCTGCGACGTGTACCAGTACTTCCTGCCATCGGAGACTTGCCCAGCTTTGCTGAAACAGTTGCTGCAACACACAAGCTCAAAAACGGAAAAGCCACGGGGCCGGATGGTATTCATCCGGAGATGCTTAAGGGCCTGGATATTATCAACTTACGTGTTCTTCATGAGCACATAGTCCGGGTCTGGAGTGGCGCAGCACCCATGCCTGCAGAGTGGCTGGATAATTACTTGATACCCATGCCTAAGAAGGGTGATCTCACGTACTGCAAACGCTGGCGGGGAATTCTATTGGCGTCTTGCGCAGGAAAAGTTTTTGGCAAAATCCTGAATGCACGACTCTATCTGCATGCCGAAAACAACGGTTTGCTCCCCGAAACGCAGGCTGGGTTCAGGGCGTGCCGTAGTACTATCGATATGGTTTTCGTGTTGCGCATGGCCCAGGAAATTTCGCGCACTAAGGATCACCCTCTGTTTGTGGTCTTTGTGGATTTGGTGACAGCGTATGACAGTGTGGTACGGAGCGGCCTATGGCAGGTCTTGCTTATTAAGGGGGTCCCCCCCAATGTAGTAGCTTTGCTTCAATGCTTGTACCAAAACAAATCGGTTCGTGTCTCTGCAGAGGGTGATCTTACTGATACGTTTGGTCTCCAAACTGGGCTGGGCCAAGGCTGTTGCATTGCCCCGCTTTTGTTTAATATTTTCTTCGCTGCGGTGCTCGAACAGTGGAGAGGAGTGGAGGGAAGGCGTTTGCGTTGGGGAACCAGGGTCGACGGGGTACTACGCCGTCAGGGTCTTTATAAGTATAGCACATATGAGCCTTGCGACCTTGCTGAGCTGGGCTATGCAGATGACCTGGCATTATTGGCAGACTGTTATGCACAACTTCGCCAAATGACGCAGGATTTCCAAAGTCATGTCTCTTCTTGGGGATTGATTCTTTCAGTCGAAAAAACCAAAGCCATGTGCACTACCCAGCCTCAGCAGGATCCCATTCCGGTCTGCCCGCAGGATGGGTTTGACCGTGTAGACTTCGAGGACACGTTTGAATATCTTGGCTGTGACGTTAAGTTTGACGGGGACTGTACGGCTAACATACTCAATAATATTAACGGCGCTCGCAAAGTGTTTTGGGGACTCGCGCAAACCGTGTGGTATGTTCGCGAACTTTCCCTGTCCTCCAAACTTGCTGTGTTTCGTGCAAGCGTCATTAGTAGGCTGCTCTACGGTTGCGAGACGTGGACTACTACGTTTGTCACACGGCGTAAGCTGCGTGGCTTTGTCATGATGTGTCTGCGGGTTATCTCGGGTGTTACGAGGTGGCAACAGCAACAATGGCATCTAAACAGTAAAGATGTGCGGGCGTGGCTTGGTGTGCCAGATATTGTCGACCTGATCATGCAAACACAGCTCCGATGGCTCGGCCATGTTGCCCGAATGCCAAACACCCGTTTGCCAAAGCGGATCATCTGTGCTTTCCTTCCGGACGAAATTGGCACACAGCGTCCGCCAGGACGTCTGAGAGGAAAGTGGTATCGCCAGACTTTGGTGGAAGCACTCAGGGCAGGGGGTTTTGCGCTAGGGGCATGGATGCAGCTTGCTGCAAAACAGGAGGGGCGGGACTGGAAGTTGGCTACTCGTAAGGTTGCCATGTGGTTCAAACCTGCTTTCCCTGTTCCTGGAGCAAGCCCTCCTGATCGAAGCCGAGAGATTCAAAAAATTCTGGGTCGCAGCACGGCCCATCCTGACAAGAGCTTCGCGGCTGCCGTTGTTACTGCCCATAAATGGATTTCGGCACAGGATACACCGGCCGAGGGTTTCTTTAAGCTTGAAGCTAAAGGGGTGGGTGGTAAGTCTCTACTGGAAGCTTTTACTAGTGAAGCTGTGTCTCAGTATGGGCAAGATTGGGGTCAAAACGACTTCGATGATGTGTTCTCTGCAGTTATGTCGGTCGAACCCTGGGTAACTCACATGTCCCATGAAATGGATCTGTGTCTTTTTCGGTTTGTCGGTATGACCGCACATGCCAAAACTTCGAGTTGTGGCCACCTTGACGAATATCTTGAAGCCTTGTCAAACTTGATGCCCCAAATAAGACCAGTTAGGCGCCGGCTTAGGATCAAGCAGCACCGTCCTGAATCGTTTGAACAAACAGCCGTGGGCGTCGAACCGCCGCCCGAGCCTGTGGTAAATAGAGTACGCGGTAGATACTGGGCGGAGCGTCATTATGATAATCGGGTTGGCGCCACGTATGCGTGTCCTATCCCTGGCTGCCAGCGAAAGTACACGACGCAACATGGGCTGGGTCATCACCTAATTCTATCTCATCGTTCGGGCACGTACCGTGAGGCGGGGTGGGATTGTCCGCATTGCTGCCGATCTTTTGAAAGGGAAAGCGCAATGACCAGCCATCTCAGGTTGCATGCTCCTGATGCTACGCCGTATGTTTGCCCGGAATGTGGCGCTTATTTTCCGGGTAGGGACTCGGTCCGCATGCACATGAGTAACGCGCACCCCTTGAACCATGCTATGCTTCCTATTACATGTTCGTATTGTCGCCGTGACCTTGGTATTGAAAGGGAGTTCACGCATCTTCATAGCTTCCGCATGCATCTTCTCCGCGAGCACATACAGTAGTGCTGCCGAGCGTATAAGCCTGTCGCGCCCTGGTGAGCCTGCAAGCACGCCAACTTGCTTGCAACACTCAAAAAAAAATCGAATCGAATCCCGTAACCAGTTCTGCTTTGTGTGTTGTTTTCTGTGTACACAAGTGCCGTACACGTGTCGCGTTAAACACACTCGGAGCATATGTGTGATGTGCAGGCTTATTCAAAAGTCCGTCCGCGCCCTGTTGGTTCAAGTCGCTACCTAGCTTGTGTTTGTTTTTGGTGCCCTCTGCGCTTTCCTATGTGCGTGGCATGGCGCGCCGTGAGCGTGGTGACCGTGGTGATCAGCGTGATCGTGGTCGTGACCGCGAACGGGACCGCGACCGGGACCGTCGGGAGGTGGAACGGGAGCCGGAAGGAGGGGTGGAAGCAAGGTTGGCCTGCCTCGAGGACCGGGTCCTTGCGACTGCTGCCCTGGCCAACTCAACAGCGTACAAAGTGGGAAACGAATCGGCACGCCGGTCGCTCGTGTTCTTCATCAGTGGAGAACTCAAAGCTGGCCTTGAGCGAGGATGGAACACATGGAAAAGGAACTCGGCCCTCCCACCGGCCCAGAGGCCGCAGGAACGCCCTGTCCCTTGGAAACTACAAGTGTACACTGCCCTGGTCGAGTATGCGCAAGGGGCTTGCACAGGGAGTCTTGGTAATATGCCTCCTGGGGCAGAGGCTGCGATGCGCTTGCTCCTTCCGTCCAGTGTCGCGGTCGAGGCGGTGCAGCACGGGGATCCTCAAGATGGCAAGCCCTGGCCAGTGGTTGTGCTTTTCAGAAACAGTGAGACAGCGCAGAACACGCGTGATGTTTGGTTACAGAACGTGCTTCGTCCGCTGTTCGGGAAAGACAAGGACCTGGGGCTTCGTCCTGCGCGCTACCTGGCGTCAGGGGTGCACAGGCGAGTGCACGACTTCGTCCCCGCAAAGGAAAGGGTAAAGGGCAGGGCCGCTCGCCGAAGCGGGAGTCAGAGGCGCGTGATGAGCGTGGTGATGGTACCCGACGCCGAGTGTGACGAGGACCGTATGTTTTTGGGTCGTTATCGTTGAATTCTGTGGCATGCGGTGCCGTCCGCATTGCCTTGTTTATGCCCGGTGCCGCCCGGTGCATACTGTTTCCGTTGGGTGCCGTCCCACGGAAGTTCGTGCGTGCGTTTGCGTTTACCTCGTTCGTCCTGGGGCTTCGTGAAGCTGAGTTGTGGTCTGTTTGGGCGATCGCAGTCGTTCGTTCGTTTCGGGGCCTCGCGACGGTTGAGGTTAGCGCGTGCAAGTTATATCCCATCCTTGGTAATGTGCTACACGTGGTCATCCTCCCACTCAGTAAAGCTCTGGTATTCTCTTCTAATCCCTCTCTGTTTCTTCTCTAGACGACAGTTTCGGTAGGTTTTGTCCCCCCCCCCTTTCAAGTCGAGACATCTTTTAGCTGTCCCCCCTTTTCAACAATTTTTAATTTCCGGTTTCACGCACCCAAGTCCTGGTACAGGACAACAGGGTGGGCTCCAGAAGAGTATCGGTTGCAGATGTGGCAAGTAACAAGCATGGCCGAGAACAATAATCTTCAGGGCATTGTGGATGGGCAAGCCTACGTGTTTTTTGAGGGGGTCACAGAGCAACTCGCAAGATGAGCGAGTATTACGCTAGCACAACGCTTTATTCATCATGTACGCGAAGTGCGACAAAACATCAGAAGACATCAAATAAGACATCAAATGGATCCCTCGGTCTCTGGGCCTTCTCCTCTGTCGACTTCAAGCCCAAAGCTTCAGCGCCAAGCACCTGAATGTTCGACATCTTTGCGCTCTCTTCCTGTGCTGACGCTATCTGATGCTGATAGAGGCGTGTTCCATGGTTATTTGAGTCCGAGACACCGTGCTACGTGACAAACTTGCACTTCTCAATCTGGAAACATCGCGCAAGTCATAACTTCTTCCCCGTGGAAGTGGCACGCACATGGAGCGGCGTATTTCTTTGTTTTCTATACAATTCTCAAGAGAGAGGCTCCATTTAGTCAGCCCGAGCGTGGTGTTTCTGTTTCATTGGTTGAAGCGTTCATGGGGGAGATGGGCGAAGGCATGACTTGGGTATGACTTCCGCTTGCATCCGTTTGCTTGTGCTTCATTGGGTGGAGGAGCCTAAGGCATGACTCGTTTGCCTGCATTGTCCGCATAGAAACACCGTTTCACTAGACTTTGTCGATCCACGCCATCAGACCGCAAGGTCATCGCTGCTTTTGCACGGCGTTTGGAGGCTCCTATGGAGGCTGGGCCTGGCTGAGTTCGTAGAGCCGACGGGTTGGCTGTTGATGGGCGGTAGGCCTCCTGGCAGCAGCAAGGGTCCTCTAGATTGGTAGAAGCAGAGCTGCAGACGTGGGGGAGTTCCGGTCTCAGACGCGTCGGGGCGCCAGTACATGTCAGCTGTCACAGGCCGAAGGCCTCGTACGCTGGAGGGTGAAGGAGGATGACGACTTGGATGACGCAGCTCGATCTGCACATTCAAGGCTGGTAAGGACCCACAAGCAACTAGGGCCAGGAATTCCCTGGCAGCGCATATGGGCTGGCAAGCATTTTCGATGCTTGCTCGGGTAGATAATGTTTCAAGTTGATCATGCGTTAGGTTCGGCCTTATCAACAGGAAGAACAGGAACCATTAGTCTCGAACCATGATCCTAGCATGCCGCTGGCCTGCATCGTCAGCCATCGTCAGTGTGCAGCTCAGGTCCTCGCAGAATACCAGGACCTGGTCCACCGAAGTGAGGCCCAGATCAAGCTGGCAAGCCATGGGATTGGGCTTAAGAGTCACCAGTAGAACTTAAAGCGGATGTCAAAGATGATTTTTGTTCTCCCGGTTGACTAGGCTGCAGCGATGCACTGCACATTCCTGACAAACGGATATAATCTGCATCGACATGATGTCCAAGTCAATTGTGAAACCATCAGCAGGTTTAAAGCCAGGCCCGGCAACAGGCAGAAGGGAGTTTGCACATTCTGTGAACGTATCACTTGCGACTCTGCTCGACACCACGATTGCAATGTCTCTCACGAAACGGAGATGATGTACATAGTATACGGGTATGAGCATTGTTAGGTCATTTCTGGCCATGCCAGGTTGGGACGTTACTGGTCGAGCCGGCAGAAGAGGACATCCAGGATGCGGATGAGGCATATAGATGCAGCGAGGGTGGCGCATGCCAGCAAGGAGTGCTGGCCCGTTAGGAGTGTTAACGCCCAGGCCTTGGCGTCCTTGTGCTTTTGATTGTTCTTTTCCATATCCACTCAACACGAACCGGGAAGGCTCGGCCACGGAAGCGCCGACGACGTTTGGACAACGAGGCGAGCCGAAAACCCCTCAAAACCCACCTTGCTTGCAAATCCTTGAAGATCCTTGCAACAGTCCCCGGACATCTCCAAACGATTCTCGAAGGCTGCAGCAGCTGGGCGGGCTCCACGCGCCGAGGACGCCGATATTTTTGGCTTCAGAAAAGCCAGGCTTTTTAATCTGTCCCCACGCTGAAGTTTTTCATTTGTCCGGAGCGGCTTGTTGGGCAAATTTGGGTCTTACAAGTCTTGGGAACTTCCGACTCGGCAAGGAGGTGGACCTGCACAGCAAAGCACGGCGGGCACAGTTTCTCCGCGTGCGACACCCAGCTTTTTGCACTAGACACCTCATACACCTCTTAACCGGTGCTGTTTGATTCCTGCAGGCTTTGTTTGAGTTAGGCTCGTTTTTGAGGCAGACGTTTGCTCTGCATGTCGCACTGATCTAGGCAGAGGAAGGAAGGTGAGAGCGCTTTTAATCAGCACAGATTCACAGGAGGAGCACACCATAGCACAGCCGAATTGGCCGCCCATGCCTCTTCAAGGGTTCTGATGTATGGGCCCTGAAGTTGTACAGGGCATACAAGGGGTCAAAAGGGGTCCCCTTTTCAAGGGCCCATACTAGGGTCCATAGTAAGGCCATGTAACTACCCTAAGAATGCCTTCGAAAACTTCTGGTACTGAAGCCAGAAAGCAGATCCAGAGAATCTGAGAACCGAAGACGGAGGCGAGGAGCCAGAGAATCTGGACCCATGAAGGTGGGCCTCAGGATTGGCCAAAAATGTGTGGGCAACACTGCACCAGCAAGCACGCCCGTTGTTTCAAAAAACTCAGCACGATTGATGGCGCCTGCCTGTCTTGCCCCATCTTGTTCCCAATACCTAAGCACAGAGGCGGAGAGCATTTTGGGGGGTGGGAAACTGTTGTTTTTGTTCTTCAGGGAGTGTGGACCCCTTGAGTATCTGGAGTTCTAGAACTGCGTCTGGCCAAGGCTGTTCCCTGAAATGCCTGCGCGCCTGAAAACATTCCCGTGTCCGATTCCCAAATAGACTGTGGACACCACAACTCCCCGTTTGGCCTTCGGGACTCCTACACAAAGCAAGACGCCTGAGAACGAGGGCAAACCATGGCAAAACCCCTCATCCCCAACCCTAAACTACTCGTAGCTACTCTGCATTCACCCTATTTCTTTTGTCCGACAACTCTGTGAACTCTATATAACCTTTTTGAGGTAGCTTCATGCACTGGGTCCGTAACTCGAACCCGCAGCCCTACAAAGTCTATTGAATCTGTATGGTGCAACCCAGCTCCCTGTTGGGGTGTCATGCTAAGGGGGATCTTACTACTTTTTGCGGATAGAAACGGGGCCCGTAATTCTCGGAAGCTACGATGGTCTACTTTGTTACGCAGTTGGCTTCTCCAAGCCCTTGAACAAGCACCCCAAATAGTCACCCCAAATAGTCAAATGGCTTTCACAGGATCCATATCTGCGAATTGGGGTCACCGAGTAGTCCGGCTCTGTACATATATACAAGGATACATGCTACACTGGTTTTTATGTAATCCGATCATGTAATTTAACAGGAGTAGTCCATAGTAGGATACTCGAAAATATCTTCATCCCTGAGCCCCAAACCCAGCTTCTCAAATGTTGCATTGCGTCCGAGCTGGGTGAAAAGCCGCAGCCATGCCATTGCAGTGGCAGGTCGTACGACGTCAGGTGGAACACTACTTCTCGGAAGCTTGGCAGCTGAGACTTACCGACTTTCCCGTTTAGGATTTGATGTAGGCCGCGCGTGAAGCAAGAGCACTGCTCACCTGAACCAAGAGCGCCGTGCTGAGCCGGCAAACTCACAATCCCATGGCTCATCAAGTGCACTACGGCCAGTTATGGGGGCAAGCAAATCAACCCTGGATTTGCGAAATCTTGAGGAGCGTGGAGGTTGTGGCCTTGCCCTGGATCTCTTTTTCGTGACTCGCAACACTCCCAAATTTAAGGTGCCTCATGTAAAGGGTGTTGAGGACAATTCCCCTGCAATGTCGTAGGTTTATGTCCAGCCGTCCTGCCGCCACCAGGATGTCAACATGAAGAAGGACTGGTTCTTTCAGGAGAAGATTGCAGCCGAACCTGAGCCTGGATGGCTGGAGCTTCGCTGGATCATGTGCCTTGCAGAGGATGTGAGGCTCTAAGACTCTAAAGAGGCTAAAGACTCTAAAGAGGCTAAAGAGGCTAAAACCAGCAGGTCCAGTTGAGTTGATGGGGCATCATTGGGCAGTGGAGGTTTTCCAGTCAGCACATATCCAAATCTGCTTCTTTCTTGGATCCTTGACAATCCAATTGGAGGAACATGACCATTTCAAGTCTTCAAACAATGGCTCACCAAGTGTGTAAGTGAAGTCTAAACGACAAAGTATCAGGACATGAAACCTTGGCAAGGTCTTGTCCCCGGATTGCCGACGTGCATCGTGCTTCTGAGCAGGACCCCTCAAATTGACCGCCAATGTTCAGGCTGTGAAGGCCATTAGATTGAGGGTAGATATAAGTGACATCAGTGGGGTGATGCTTGAAGGAAGCTCCAAGAGTAGTGGCATGGATATGCACATCAAAGATCTGGAATGCATGAAAGTGCCTCCACAGTACCGCAGAGTCTCCTGCAACGGGCCGCTGCCATAGTCAACTCTGTGTTGTGACATTGGTGTGGACACGTTCTGGTGTGTCTGGTTGAGCTTACAGCATCTCTGCAGTTCGCTTGTGGGATTTTGTGGGCAGACAGACGGTGCAGCGCAGTGCCGCCAGGATGTACTCGAAGCATTGAAGATATCCTCGCTGCAGGCCTGCGAGCTGAGCACTGTCACTCCGCAGTTGTGTTGCCCCTTCGCACAATCGTTAGCACGTCTGAGCACAAGCCCCAAACCGATGATGTTCCGAGGGCTTGTCGCTCCAATGCAGCCTTGTGTCAAGTTCGCTCGGGCGTGTTCCTCTTGTTGCTGAATATGCTCGGAGCTGCGCACCGCTGTTGAAAAGATCGATATGGATGGGAATGTAGGCATGAGGTCCACTACCGGCCACCACACCACCTAATATTGCATCTTCCCTGTAAGCTCCTCCTTCATTGCCTTTCCTCAGTAGCTGCACCTTTGGCTCTACTGGTGCTAAGTGTGATTGAAGTACTCTATTTCTGCTCCAGTTGCAGAAGCAAGCAAGACCTCTTTGGGGTCTTTTGAGTTCCCGCGATCCGGAGTCTGACTTGAGCTGAGGTGAAGGAAGCCGCCGGAAGCAACTGGGTCGCGCGGACGCAGCCTCTGCCCGACTTGGAGGCGCCGCATTGATGGGCATCTGAGAGTGCTTGTCTAGGAGGGGATTTCAGGAAAGAAGAAAGGAGCCCCGCAATGCTTGTCCGGAAGTACTCGTGTTTGGTTCCTTACGATGCGCAACGGGAGAAGCACGGGCGCTTCTCCTTCCCGTAGCACACACCCTAGCCCCAGACCCAAAGCATTTCAGCGCGACTTTATGAGGATGACATGGACTTGGAATACCCAGAAATGACGAAACCCAATGAGATGCAGGGCTTACATTCAATCGCTTGCATTCAATCTCAGGTGTCCAAGCCAGAGAACCCAGAGCTGCTGCATGACAGCTTGGAGGACGAGTTGAACTCACTGCTCTTAGTTATGTGCTTCTTACTTGTTTTCGAGTATATGGTTTCGCACAGGTTTTGAGAACTGCTTCTGGGAGCCGCGTAGGCGGTTGTAAAGTGCCCGTAATGTTGACATATCTTCGCCAGCTATATAGTTTAACCCAGATTGAAGTCGCGGTTCAACTCCGTGATCTGTTGGCTTTCGCTGCGTCTCGCTGCTTTGCTTCGGCCATCTCTTGAATTGCCGGGTGGGATCCGCGCATGGTTAAAGATGGTTGCTTGCACGTGGCCAAGCCGCCCAAGCCATGAACAGAATTTTGAGAGGTGAAGCATGAACTATCATGCGAAGTAAACCTTAATTCTGAATCCCTTGCATCCCCTGAAACATTGGTTCCCGTGCAGTTACTGGGGGGCCCCATGAGCCACGAGAATAGCTCCTTGAGATCAGGACGACGCAATTGATGCCCGCGACCCTGACGACGTCCCGGACGAAGTCCACGGCGACAAAGCATCTCATCTCATCGAAAGTGTCCCTGCTGTCGGCATGATGATCCAATAGCAGTGCTGGATGGGTGTTCCGCATCTGGGGAGATTGATTGGGAAGAAAGCGGCTTGCTCGATGTTGTCGGTCATAATTCGCGTTCTTGTTGTGCACCTTCGTCTAGGTGATGTCCTTACTTTCGGATGCATCCTCGCAGTTCAGTTTGCACTTCCCTGAGGAAGGCATGAGCAGCAGGGCTGCTGAAGATGCAAAGGCCTGACCGGTTGTGGACGTTTGTCACGGATCCAAACTTTCCGTACCCCCTGCGAGATAGCATTTTTGGAGTCATGGGCCCCATCACTGGCCACCACATATGAACATCATGAAATCCAGCGTGTTTTCAGGCTGCCGACCTGGAACTGCAGCGTGCGCTCGACAACTGGGAGGAGGAAAGCGCCTATCAACAAACCTGGAATGTGTGGATGCTTCAGCAAACCTCGTCAGACAATACTTGTGGAGGCTGGCGCAGACAGCGACGACTCCGACGCACAGCACGTTGAGCTCAGCACAGACGAGCTGAAACTCTCCAGTCCAAAGCAGGTTCTCTGGGCCAACATGAAGGAATACGTAAAATTGATTTATTTGGGGAGAGTCAGCGCATGTCAGCGCATAGAGTTATCATGTCTGTGTGCGTGTGTCTCTTTTCTTGAAGGCGCACACCGAGACCGACTCTGCATCCATCCCGGAGGTGCTGGAAGACTCAGAGCAATGCCCTGACCGGGTCCCGTAAACTGACTTCCCGAAGCCGACGAAGGACTTATGCAACTGCCCAACAATGCCCAACAGTTCAACAAGGACCCCTTGAATCTCATAGCTACCAAACCTGGAACCCTTCCTTCTAGGTTGTCGTCTCTCTTCCGCTTTTCGCTCTGCTGTACTTTTTAACACCTGAAGGTGATGTTCGCTGGCCCTTCAAGGGCATCTGTGGATCCGTACCTCTGAATGATCGCAACGCTGGTGTCCGTGCAGAAAAAGCCAACCAAAGCAGCATTGAATCTGCAGGGCCCCGGCTTTTCCGGCCTTCCCACAACGTTTTGAAGTTTTGAACGAGTGTAGATGCTGGGCTTCACTATGGGAATGCACTGCAGATTGTTGTAAATCCAGTGATCTAAGCCGAGCCACCCTCAATGGCAAGTCTAAGACACCTCCATTTTATTCTCGGCGACATACATTCATTATTCAGCTTCTCACATTTTTGTGTTGTGTCGCGTGCTTCTCAGATCACCACGCAAGCAAGCGCAACAGCAATTTCCAAATGATTGGCTGCATTTTGTGAAGCGTAAGGATGTGGGCCACTTCTCACGTAGACCAGATCTTGCGGTGAGTGGGGCTTAAACCCCCTCAGAGTCCGACAGGCCATCTCATACATGGTGGTGGTGTGGGTCGTGCTTTGCAGCACCAGGCGCCCCGTTGGAAATTGAAGATGCCAGATACCTCCACACCATTCTTGCCCATTTCTCGCCCTGTTTCCTCGGTTTTTTGCTAGCGGAGGTGGAACGCATTGGCGACCCAGAGCCTTGTGCAAAGGCGCACAGTACCAATTGCCTGAATTTAGGCACAGGTTTGAGTCTAGTAACGTGGAGTATGCTACACAAGTGCACAAAGCTTTGGCAGGGGCAGTCTCAGCGGTTTCGGTGCAAGATTTGCCAGGCTGGAGCTGTGGAATGAGTTAGCAGGTAGCGGCCATTAGCTGCCCTTCTCCATCCTTCTCCCCTTTGATTAGTGGAAGGTCTTGACGCACGCCGAGGTCGTGGAGGTGCTGCTGTCAGTCCTCTTGTCAATGTCAATGCATCTTGGCACTTCGACGTGATCTCGTTATGCCTTGCCGGCTCAATCTGAAAAGCAGCCTATATCTGCACACAAGCTTCGTCCATACCTCTCGAGCGACCCCGATCCATCCCGATCCCAAAGCCCTGAGTAGCCTAAGTATGTCTGAACCGTGAACGCAATCAAGACCTGCAACATCTAAACGAGCCTTAACATGGCCTTTTTCGCATCTTCCAAACACGAAGCGCATTGCGAGACTGAGCCATGAGCGTTGGTATGGCACACGGACCCGACATGCATCCTGGCTCAATGACTGTAAATCTGACGTTGAGAGAAATGCTGTGCAGCTGTGCGGCTTGCAGATCTTTGTAGAACATTGTGGTCAGACTTGAAACAGCTCAGTACAAAAGTTGGGGTTTGCGGACTGCTGGCGCTTAATGGAACATGGGAGATTCGAGGATATGGTCGAGGTGCATGTTGACACGCAAGGTGCTTGTGTGCACGTTGCTGAAAGAAGCCGATGCAGGGACCTTCGCAAAGAACATGTAACAAGGGCTAGATGACGGCTGATGGTCGCTTTTGACATCCTCGTTAGCTGTTCCTGGCACACACAAGCTCTGCTACTGAGTTCTGAACATTTTAGCCTTTCATACTAAATGCCATGGTCTACGAAGCTTGGAGTACCAACATACTAAACTCTTTATCCTGCCCTGAAAACCCTATTTTGAGCACAAACTCGAGTTTCAGTTTTGCAAAGCTGATCTACCTTCTGCAGATTTGATTTAGGCTGGCTTTGCCTTCCGAAGCCACCGAGCATCAAAGGCCCGGGCATGTAATTGTGTGTGATTGGCCGATCGCCACCCCATGCTCCCGTAAACACCCTCGAAACATCCCCACGGCAGGTCGTCATGCATGTCCGACATTGCAGCAGCCACGAGCAAACTCCTCGGCTGCCTGCTCGATAAGCTGGCGGCCCAGGTGTAAATCCCATGCCAAGCCCTGCCAGACTCTGCCAGAAAAGCTTGAGCTTGGAATGAGAGGCTTTGTAGTGGACTCTCCATCAACCAGCCTTCGTGGGACCCAGAGACTGACGCCAAAAAACCTGACGCCCATTGGCTCGTGCAAGGCAGAAAGACTTTGCGCTCGCCAGCGACAAAGACCCTTGCCAGAAAGCATCCATTCATTTATGCACTTACTCAGCGTGACCTGTGATGCTCTCTGAGGGGAACACCTCATTTCCTCTGGTGCATGATGATCAAATAAACCGTGCCAGGTCCCATAGTTCATCAAAGCGCTAGTAATGATGTTGGTCATCATGAGGAGGAGGAGGATTGCAATGTTACCGGCAGATGATGGTGTTATGCGCAGATTCTGTGCGAAAAAGCTGACATCTTACTGAGGAGAAATTGTGCTGCTCTCAGCTTGCGTACCTCGTATGTCCGTCTGTGGAGCTTGGGACAGCTGTGCAAGCGAATTCTGTGATGGTTTGCCACCGGTTAGAGTTCACATAGTGCTGAGGAATTATGGGAGGTGCGCCTGCTACTTCAACTTCATGGAAGTGGGACAGGACAACTACCAGTAGCAATTCAAAGCAGCAGTGCAAGCAAGATATTGCGCTCCATGTACTCTGCCTGCTGGGAGTTTGATTGCTCTCTCTCTCTCTGGACATTGACTG